CCCTCTGCCTAAGCAACTCCACCCAGTCGGGGAGCTCAGCGGCGTCGCCAAACTCTGTACTCCAAGCGTCGCTCAGACGGGCGAAGCAGCGGGACTCTGTGTGACTACGCGTCCCGCAAGGCTGACCACTCCGGACACCCGTGCTAATAAAGTATGGGCAGCGAGCAGAACTCAGCGACCCTGTACTCTGAGCGTACCACTCACGAAGCTGCTGAGGCGAAAGAGTCTCGCGCGGACGACGCCGCTGCTGCACAGGGCCACTACAAGAAGCTCCCGAACTACCCACTCCAGGACGACGCCCACTACTGCCACCCCGACAACCCCAACTGGCGTACCACTCACGAAGCTGCTGGGGCGTGAGGGACACACGCGGACGGCCCTGGAGCTGCATCTGGCCACGCCAGGAGCAGTAGTAGAAGCAAGAGCAACAGGAGCAGCAGTAGCAGTAGCAGCAGCAGTAACAACAGTAGTAGCACGCGCAGGGCAGTGCTCACCAGTGGTGGGAAGGGTAGGCGCACGACGGAGGCGACTACGGGGCCGCTACAGCGGCAGGGCGGGGCCGCGACCACGGCAGGAAGCTCCGCGGCAGTTGCTGCAGGGCGGGACTTGGCCGCAACGGCGGCTGGTGCAGGGCAGGGACAGGGCCGCGACGGTCGCTGTTGCAGGGGCGGCTGCTCCACGGGTGGCTGCTCCAGGGGCCAGGGGCGGCTCCTGCAGTGGCGGGTGCTCCAGGGGCCAGGGGCGGCTGCTGCAGGGGCGGCCGCTCCAGGGGCCAGGGGCGGCTGCTGCAGTGGCGGCCGCTCCAGGGGCCAGAGGCGGCTGCTGCAGGGGCGGTTGCTCCAGGGGCGGCTGCTCCAGGGGCCCGGCACAGGGTAGGGCAAGGCGATGCGGCGGGCAGGGGCGACGCGGCGGGCAGGGCGACGCGGCGGGCAGTGGCGACGCCGCGGGCAGGGGCGACGCGGCGGGCAGGGCGACGCGGCGGACAGGGGCGACGCCGCGTCAGTAGGAGGTCGCGGCCGCGTGAGCTGCAGGGCTGGCGGGGCCGCGTCACGGCAGGGCGGGGCCGCGTCCGCGTCGACGGCAGGGCGGGGCCGCGACTGCGGCCTGATGGGGCCGCGACTGCGGCCTGACGGGGCCGCGACTGCGACTTGACGGGGTCGCGCGCTGGCCTGACGGGCCTGCAGAGGCTGCGTGCGGGCGGCACGGGCCTGCAGGGGCGGCGCGCGGTCGGGCAAAAGCTGCGCGCGGGCGGCGTGGTCCTGCAGGGGCAGCGCGCCGACCTGACGGGCCTGCAGGGGCGGCTCTCGGGCCTGACGGGCCTGCAGAGGCGGCTCGGGGGCCTGACGGACCTGCACGGGCGGCTCAAGGGCCGTACTAGCTGTCAGAATCCCAACCACTAGACCATTGGGATAAAAGGGCTTGTTTCAGTAGCGGGTCAGTTCGCCCATAACCCCCCAGGCGAACGCGCCTGTAACCCTCTCCAGGATCAATCGGACATCCACAGTGCAGATCTACTGACACTAGCTTGCAGGGGCGGCGCACTGGCCTAGGGCAGCAGGAGGCAGCGCGAGGGCTGCAGGACGGCGTGTAGGCAGAACGAAGGGCGGGGCGCGCGAGGGCGCACTAGCAGAAAAAGGGCGCACGAGCAGAGACAGGCGCACGAGGGCACACGTAAGGTAGGGCGCACGAGGGCGCTCCTAGCGGAATAGTGGGCCCGTAGTAGTAAGCGGTCCTAGGTGGCAACCTAGGCTCGTGATACCATGTCAGAATCAACAAGAGTGATTGCACTAGGAAAGAGTTGGGTACAAGTAGGAAACCCTAAACTTACTGTACCCCATAGTGACTACCCCACTACAGCCTAAACAAACTGTAGCAGATAGAACATTTGACAGAAATGTTTATTCCAGTATGGCGAAATTTAATTCTTACTGAGAACCCTACATCATCCTCCAGTTTCTATGTTTTTATGTAGCAAAAATGACGGATCAAACTGTATTCGTCCTTGTTACGAATCGTTATGCATCCGCGCTAACAACGTATTCAAAATCCGGTCAATGAACTGATCATATGCACGTCAGTTTTTTTAAAGAGCGCGGTCAAATATGATCGCAATCCTTAATGATGGCGCCTGATTGGACGTGCAATGGCAACAGTTGCACCGTACATATCTTTGACGAATCATGCGCGTGCATCAGGGGTGTTGTGGTTCGTTGCGGGTCAATAGAAGTATATTACCGGGGATTTACATGCTCGATCGCTGATTGGTTACGGATTTGACATAGTTCTCATTGGTCGTGCATTTGCCCGAAATTGAGCGCGCATTTACCGTTGGTCGGAATATTTGTTGGTTTCTTGTACAGTGTGCGGGCCACGTTCGCGCCCGCCACCCTAGCAAAATTTTCGGGTGGGGACTAGTAAGAAACACTATTGCAGGATGATACTCGTGCGAACGGTGCATTTCGGGGCTACAATCCTCCTTAGGGTAATGTTCCAGGGAAAAAAAAACACCATGAAAATGCCCTGGCGTGGCCACTCGAGTAATTATCACCAAATTTGGTGACCACTAGAGTAATTCAAGGCCACGCGAGTAAGGATGAATCACCGAACAGGGTTTGACAGTAATTATCTCGAGCAGCAGAGGGTTGGGGAGCAAGGGTATAGGATTTTCAGCCAATGGCGCTGCGTGAAGCAATCTAGGTTTTCAAGAAGTATCAGAAGCAATCTGCGCTGTATTGACGAAAATTGAAAGCCTGCTGTTGGTGTGTACTATGTACTAGAACCGCACTGCAATGCCTCATTAACCATACATGGAAGCTTCATTACGTACAGAACCGCATTACAGGGACAATTTCCTAAGCCACGTTGCGCCGCCAGCGGTGGCTTCCTTGGGGGAAATCAATGGTGCTGCAGAAGGTCCCTCCCAAAGTCTGCGGAAACCAATTGGACCAATCAAGGAACGTAACGTGGGTTTTCTTGTTCTGCCGAATGCATTTTGCGGCTGTATGCTCAACCATGGTGTGGCGTGTTTCGATACTCGTTTAGAACCTATCGACGACCAAGTAGCATCTTAACGCACAAGCAAAGTTCACATGTGAGAAATAGATCAATACGTGAAAATTCTGAAATGCGAACAAAAAAATAACAGAAATTGAAAATTTAAAGATAAATTACCATTTAGTGGGTCATGCTTTAGTAACCTGTTGTAGATATGTATATATATGTATATGTAGCAGCTTATGATGTTACGCTCTGCTTTGCTTATGTGTCGGTCCCATAACTGTAGTCTCCTGCCCCAGAAGAATGGAGGCCGCTTGATGATGACGAACCAAGGCCAACAGCAACCTCTGGGTGGGGGGAGCTAATCATTCCGTTTGCTTCGTTGGAACCCGTTTCACAAATCAGAAGATGTGTTGAAGCCGGGATAGATCTCCATTGGTGCTCTCCTCCAGCGCACGATGGCCGAATCCCTTTGACTGCATTGTTTGTTTCTTTTCTGTCCCAGCGCAGGAGCCATCATCCGGCAGACGTTCCATTTAGGCCGCATTCCATTTACAAACCCAGGATTTGTAACTCCTGAACATTGAACTGTAGCAAAAATATGCCGAAATGCATCTTTGCTACACCCTTGCACAAGATTTCCGAGAGCGATTGGGGCGGGTAAACGCGATTTGCATAGAAACAAATATGGCTCCATTGCCCCATCACAAATCGCACGTGTAATGCCTCGACACTTCTGTTCTTTCTCACCCTGTATTTCAACAAGAAGAGCTACAGGCAAAAAGCAGCAACATTCTTTTCAGCAGCAATTGCTGCGCACGGTTGGCAGCAGGAGATGGGATGGGTTTTTAGCAAATGACTGGGACGTAAGAATACTCTACGGGTGTCCAGGTACAGCCATCGTGTGGCGAGCAAGTGGACACGGGTCTTTATGAGGGCATGCGATTATCCCTCCAACTACGCCAAGTCGCTGAAGACTACCCTGATCATCCACCAAAGATGAAAGTTCCCTCCCTCGTTGGCGGCAGGCGGTCCGAGCTGCTGGTGCTTCCCGCGGACATCCAACCACCACCACCAGCTTCATCCGGCTCGAACCAAAAAGCCAACACCAGCGCATCGCCACAAACTGTGCACACATCAGCTCCGCTTGCCCCGCGTCTCTTCCTCCCCTCACAAACATTTCAATTCTGCCCAGTCGATGTGCTCAGCTCATTTCATTTCTGACTCATCGTGTTGTTTCAATCCCCTCCATTGCTGTCTGCATGCTTCATTCCCTTGTCATCAATTTTGCCCCCAACCCCAACCCGTCCTCCTCGCCTTCATCCTCCTCCCCTCATCTCCTGGACCCTGATCCCTCGCCCGCAGCTTTGATGCTCACACACGCCTCAGTCACACACTCCCAACACAGTCACAAGCAACCTTGATACTGACGCATCCCGATCGTAGTCTTCGCATCTAGTCAAGCGCATCCCACTCGTAGATGCTGGATTGAGTAGGAGCACGACTGTTAGAACGAAAGCTTCACAGGAATATAGAGACAGAAGCCAGGTGGTGTGGTGTATCCTGTCCTCCTTTTCCTTACGCGTGCTCCTATCTGGTGAAATGGCGTCGATCGCATTGCCAGATCTTTATATGGTTTCGTAGTGTTCTCTCACCTCACTTGAGTAGATTCGACAAACAGGCTACGCGTTTCCTCTCTAAACGATTGTGCGTGGCAATTCCGAATGAACGGGCGGTCAATTGCTTCTCGCGTTCACCCAATTTGTCCCCCTGTTCCCTCTAGACTCCGCTAGCAATAAACAATTCAATTGTACCCAATTCCGGACGAAGCGGGCGGATCCGCGTCGTACCCTGCAACGAGCTGTCGGCCTTTCAGCCCTTATCTTCTTCAGCGAAGTCAACGTTACACGAAGCGAGGCCAACCGCCGGCGGAAGTACAACACGACTGTAAATTCCCACAAAGGGGGGAGCAGAGGAGTGGTACCACAGAAAGCGCGTCCGCCATGCCCATGCTCAAGGTGCAGAAGCTCTACGACGCGTGCAAAGCGGCCTTCTCCTCCCATGCCGGCTCCGTACCGTCTCGCCAACCGCTCCAGCGGGTTCGCGATATCCTAGGTGCGTGGCTGCTGTGTGCGACCTTATTCAGGCTTGAGTTTCGCAATTGAGCCGCTTCTCGTCTGATTCGCCTCGCAATTGCGAAGGGATAGTCTTTGAGTCGAGTGTACGGCGAAATTGGGGACAGTTTTAAGAATTCTCGAGAAGTAAATGATTTGTGTCCATGGATAGATTTGGAATTCTCGCATTTGGACTTGATCGCGTTTCTCGTCGTTTGCGCTTCTTCGACCCGCACCTCCTCTCTTCGCGACTTATTCCTCGCTTCCTCTATATCCCTCGCTCCCGTCCCCCATCTTTCTCACCCACCCCGTTGACTGAACCATAAACTCATTCTTAAATAAATCTCAATCGCAGAGTCCATCGAGGCTGCCGACGTTGGACTTGACGAGGTCGCTGCTTGCTGCGAGAATCGCAACGCTGCGAATTACGCCGCAAACCACGCCGCCACGGCTGCGGCAGTCGGGCGCTCCGCGCAAGGCGACGGCGCGGAGGCACGCAGCGGTGCGAACGAGCGGAACGGCAGCGGGGTTGGGGGTTCCGCGGATGGGCGGAACTGCAGCGGAGCTGGAATTTCCGCTGATGGGCGAAACCCGGCGGGCGGAAACGCGAGAGGAGGCGGGGAGGCAACACGCGGTGGCGCAGCTGATGCTCCGAAATTCTCTCCGCCAATCACGTACCTGCACCTATACGAGTGCGACGACTTTTCTGTGAGTAGATTCTTAACAAGCAGCTGCGTCGTCTATTACTCGTGCACTTACATTCTTTTCTTCTCCATAAAACTCCTCTACAGCTCCGTGTATGTGCTCTTCCTTCTCCCTCTCCCCACTCTCACTCTCCCTTTTCCTGTTTCGTGCGTCTCCCTCGTCCCGCCATCCAGATCGGAATCTTCTGCATCCCGGCGTCCGCAACCATACCCCTGCACAACCACCCGGGCATGACGGTGCTGTCGAAGCTGCTGTTCGGGTGCATGCACGTGCGCTCGTTTGACTGGGCCTTTCCCACTGAACCCTCCACCGACCCTTACCAACGTAATGCTCTCTCTCCCACCCTCCCCCCTTTCTCTCTTCCCCCCCATCTCTTTCCCTTACACGTTCTCTCTTTTCCGCCCCTCTCCCTCCCCTGCTCCGCCCCTCTCCCTCCCCTGCTCCGCCCCTCTCCCTCCCCTGCTCCTCCCCTGCTCCTCCCGTGCTCTTTCCTTGCTTCCATTTCCTTCTCCATGCCCTCCCTCTCCCCCACCGTCTCTTCATCCACACTCCTCTTTCAGAACCTCCACTTTCCTTCTCCCGCTCTACCTTCTCCCTCCCCCAGCCCTCCACTTTCTCACATTTCCCCCCCTCTTTTCCCTTGCAGAACCTCCACTTTCCTTCCCCCCTTCTACCTTCTCCCCCACCCCTCTGCGGTCCCGCCCATGATCCATCCCTGCTGCCCCACCAGCGCGCCTGGCAGAGCTAGTAGAAGATCAGGTGGTAGCAGCGCCGTGCCCGCCAGACATCCTCTTCCCCACCAGCGGCGGCAACATCCACTCCTTCACCGCGCTCTCCCCCTGCGCCGTTCTCGACGTGCTCGCGCCACCTTATAACGCGGATGCAGGCCGCCACTGCACGTACTTTAGAGAGCTCGCGCCTGCGAGCTTCCCGGCGCTGGAGAGCACAGAGGGGCTGAAGGAGGGTGTGGAGTATGGCTGGCTGGAGGAGTTTCAGCCTCCTGACAGCTTTGTTGTGCGCCGCGGGAATTACCGAGGGCCCATGGTGTGTGAGACGAGGAGGTTTGTGGAGGGGAGGGGGAGGGGGAGGGGGAGGGGAAAGGGGATGGGAAGGTGGTGGGTTTTGGGTGTGGAAGTGGGTGGGTGTGTGGAGGGAGTTGGAGGGTGCGTTAAGAGGGTGCTGGTTTGGAGGGAAGTGGTGAGTGGAGGTTCTCTGTCCTGCTGCTCTCTTGGACTCAAGATTTCTAAGCAACATATTTTGCCCTTACGTGTCTTTCTTTGGTTTTTTCTTTCCCACAGGTGGTTGACAGAAAGAGACTACTGCAGCAACAGCGCATGGAGAAGCAGCAGCTTCACCAGGAGCAGTTGCAGCAGCAACAGAGGCAACACCAGCAGCACCAGAAAGACATGCAGCAGCAGCAGCAATCAGATTCAGGATCGGGCATTCTGGTTGTGCCAGCAGCAGCATCGCATGCACATAGCATGAAGCGGTGTGTAGCTCAAGTGCAGGAGGCTGAGGGCAGCAGCGACCATCATCAGGCAGCCATGGATCGGCACCATCGCCACCGCGCTGCCTCCACCACATCTCGCCCGTGATCCCATCAGCACACCTGGTTCTTACATGACTAAATCACGGTAGTAACAAATCGGAGTACTGTCACTATCTTTCTACCCAACCTTTTCAGAAGTGTTTTTATGTGGCAGTTTCTTGGCTTCTCGTCTGTTGCGTTCTTTGTACATGTTTTGCATTTGAGGCTTACTAGGTAAGTGAGGTCGTACTTGCATGACAATTTGAGTTCTCAGGCCCGATGCCATGGAGGTGCTCATCCATTCTTAGCCTTGCTTTTCTTGTGAGTGCCTTTAGACATTTAATGTGCAATATTGCTTCAAAACCAGCCCATTTGAGGCTTTGACTGAGCACAATGCTACAAATCTTGGGAAGGAAGTGAGAAAGAAACATGTTACTTTCTGTAGATTACACATCACTGTTAGTGACTTATAAATGCCATAACTGTACTTGTTTTCCCAGTTTCTATTGGTGCACGATATTGAAAAAAACAGCCACAAATCCACAATTATTGGCGTCAATGCGCCTCACTTTCAGAACGCCGCACCGCATGATCGCGTTCCCTTGCTCTTGAATGGAGGGCGATCGGCAGCTACATGCTACGAAACGGACGCGAGCGTCGCGAGGTTGCTCAGTGTGGGAATAATGTGTTCGTCAACCAATCACCACACCACTTTCGTCGCCTATTACATTTCCCCGATCATCGCGCTGTCGCGTACCAAAAAATCAACATTTCGTCACATGTAATTCCAAGCTCCACCAGCACACCACGAGAATTTTGCTCAATCCCGCGGAAGCGCGGTTTGATTTATTTTTGCTACGTGGCGAGCCTATGATCGCTTGAACCGCGATCTGTTTTATTGTTACAATCGATGCCTGTTTGAGCCTCTTCTGGTTGCCTTGTGAAGGGGGCGTATAAGCTGTATCGTGCTTTTCGCATAATTTTCGTCAATTCGCAACTAGCTAAAAAGGATTCGCAGGTGCTTATATTAAGTATCTATAACCTTATCCGTTGATATTTTGACTTCAGTCTCTTCAGTTTGACTTCAGTCTGTTTGTTACTATTGGTCCATAACCACGCGACGCGCTTGTATCGTGGGTGCAACAGGCTGGGGAAAGGACCTCGGGTGCAGCGTTTCTATCCGGTGCAGGGCAAATTCGCGTGCACTGGCTGGGCATCATGTGTATCACAAACTTCAAGAAAAATTTAGTGAAGTTCTGTACTGCGCTGCCCACGGGCAAAAATAAAACCCATAAAGGTAAGGCATGCGTTAGGGATGCACCAGCCCTAAACACCTAGAGGCAAGGTGTTTAGGATTGATGCCTCCCTTGCGCATGCCAGGCCCGAATGGGTTTTATTTTTGCTTGCGGGTAGCGTAAAACAGAACTCAACTAAATTTCTCTTGAAGTTTGTGATAACAATATAACAGATCGCGGTTCACGCGATCGAAGGCATGCCACGTAGAAATAATAAAACGAACCGCGATTCCGTGGGTTTGAGCAAAACTCTCGCATACCACCCTACTCCATCCCCACCCCTTCCCCTCAGGCTTGCCAGCTTCAGAGCCGCTTCGCCATTATTCACCCATTTTTTTGGCCGCCAGTGAGATCGTCTGTTCAAATGCTCCCGTTTTATGGAGCCTGAACGCGTAGTATACATGCAACGTGAAGATTAGGCAAGGATGGGCTGGCTGGGCTGGTCTTAGCATCTCACGGTTCTTGAGCTGGCCTTGGTCATGCTCGTTAGCAAGAATAGTTCCAGTAGTTGTGAGAAATTCTTCCGCACGCTTCGATCCTGTGGCTTATTCTCAGTTTTGGATAGTCTCTTTTTTTCGTTCTTTCTTTCTTTCTTTATCACGGAGTGCCGCCCATCTCCGGAAGAATATTCAGTGTTAACGCATGGCACAAGGGATATTCGCACAGGGAGATGCAAGGGTAAGCGCGACGGGCGTCGGAATGTCCAAAGAGTCCGATCCTGCTGAAATCAAGGAGAGCGAGCCGAAGACGAATGGAGAGCAAGAGATAACGAGAAATCGAACAAAGAAAGGTGAAGCCACGGGAAAGAGGAACGAAGAGGAACAAAGGAGGGTTGAGGAGGGCGATAGTGATGCCCCAAGAGGCGGGAACGGACTGGAAATGAGAGGAAATGAGGGAGCAAGACTCGCGGCTGATACAGCTGAAGCGTTCCGAGACGAGAAGCGAGAGCAGCAAAGAAATGGGCAAGATGAGATCGGCGGCGCGGAGGAGAAACACATGGAGAGCGAGAAACAGAGTGGAGACGAGACGGAGGAGGAATGGGCAGCAAAACGAGTGCCTGAATCTGAGGTGCAAGCGGATATGGAAGCGCGCTCGAGTCTGCTTGCCCAAGGACCGACTGGCGGCAATGGCGCCCGTTTCGACGACGATACTACTGAAGATTCTGCACGTCCCGCATCCGTGGGAGGTGGATCTGCTGCCGTCATCACTAGTAGCGTCGCCGTTGCCACTGCTGATTCGGAAACTGCATCCACCATCACCAGTGGTACAAGTAGTACTGGAGCCGCTACGGCTTCTGCTGCGACAGCTACTAGTGCTGCTACGGCTGGCGGCAATTTGACGGACACCATAGGCGTGGACGGCACCAGTGACGTTGCGTCGCCGCCGGAGATTTTACGGCCGGGGAGCGGAGAACCAACGGTTGGAGTTTTGGGGGGGGGAAGCAGCGGGGATGCGGGAAGCGCCGGGGTGGCGCGAAGCGGCGGGGGGGTGTTGCGCAGCGAGGAGGGGAGGCGCGTGAGGAGGCGTGTGCAGCGGCAGTCGTGGAGCGGCGCGTGCATGTTCTGGAGCATCGCAGCTCTCATCGTCATCATCGCCGCGCTCGGCGCGTACCTCACGTGCGTGCGACACGTGGCAATTCGATTACTAGGGTGGTGCGAAGAATACCGCATTTGCATCTCACGCGGAGACTGTACGGTGCAATCTCTCACCCTCCTCTCTCCCCTCGTTTCCCCGTCCCCCATTCTCGTTAATGCAGAGCCGCGGGACAGCTTCCCTACGACACTCTGCGATGCTGGCTCGTCGAGTTTTGAGACGTCTCAAAACGCGTCTCAAATCTCTCTTCGTTCTCTCCCTCCTGCGCCCTCCTTGATGCAGAGCCGACGGGCAGCTTCCCAACGACACTGTGCGATACGTGCTCGTCGCCACGACTGTCGTCTTCGCCGTCGCGTCGCTCGCGCTGCTGCTAGCCATCCGATACGTCGACCCGGGCATCGTACCGCCCTCCGCAGTTCCAGGTGAAATAAGTCTACGATTGAAATAATAACCAACGGAGGGAACAGAGCGAAAGGATATCCGCGTTGCGCGCCGCGAATCACGGCCAGCCAGGCTGCTCGCCAACGGCCTCCATGTCTCGCCTGTGTGCCTCACACTCTCCCCTCCTACTCTTTCCTGGCCTCCCCCCGATCTTCCCCAACCTTGCGCCGACCTCCCCCCTGCCTTTCCCCCGCCTCCCTAGACCCCGTGGTGGTGCGCGCGGAGATGGGGGACGTGTCCCCCGAGCTGTTGCGCGACTCCTCGGGCCAGTGGGTGCGCGCCAAGCTCATTGCGCGCCAAGCGCTTCCGCGCAACCACCACGCAGGCGCCCACCCCGCGGACCGCGGAACTTCCCCCTTGGGCGCCACCGACGAAGAAATGGGGCTTCCTGTCGAGGGGAAGGGGGGCGCGGAGAGGGAGGGGGAACCAGCGGAGGGGGGAGCGGAAGAGAAAGGGGGAGGAGGGCCGGAAGTGGTAGAGGAGGTGGAGACACAGCGGTACTGCATTACCTGCCATGTGTGGAAGGGACCAAGGACGAGCCATTGCTCTGAGTGTGGGAGCTGCATGGAGGTGAGTGCGTTTCATGCATGGGTCGTTGGGACCTTCAATCAGCATGCGGCCGCACCTCATTTCTTCCTGCCCGTTTCTGCCCACTTCTGCCCCCTCCTTCCTCTCACTCCAACCTGATTCTTTAGCACTTGGCTCCACATCAGCTTTCGTACTCGGTTCAATGCCTCCCTTACTACCTACATCTCGCCTTCCCAAACCCTTCCTTTCCTCCCCATACCCTCTCCCTGTCATTAAACCCATGCCTCGCCCCGTGCACCCCCTTGTGCATCAACCTGTGTATCACGAGCAGCGGCTGGACCACCATTGCGACGCCCTGGGAACGTGCATTGCGCGCCGCAACCACCGCTTCTTCATCGCCTTCCTCCTCGCCTCCTCCCTCGTACTGCCTCGCCTTGCCCATCAACCCCACCTGGCTCCTCCCGCTCACCCCACCCTTTCCCCTCACCCTTGTACCTCAAGTTGCCCATCACCTTGCATCTCATGCCTCCTAAATAACCACTGCCACCTCTTTACGTTCATGTGCGCACAAACAGCGTGCACTGGCTTGGCTTCCGTCCACAAAGATTTTCTCCTTTACTTATCCGTGTGTCGTCTTCTTCCGTGCTCAGATGACTCGGTTTCTATGGCACCACACAAAATCAATCATTCAGTTTTTCACATGTCCTGTTTTCCTCCTCTCATACGCTGTGCTTTGTCTCCCTCCCACATCTTACCCCGCTGTTGCCTTGCATCCCCTCATTGCTACTCAACAGGCCGCCACAGCAGTCATCGTGTCAATCTGCTTACAGCTGGCATCAGTTGATTGGTCCAGGTATGAGGAGTACCAACCAGCGCATTCATAAGCCCCATTAACATTGTACCCTCGCATTCCCCATCATACCATTCCCCATCATATCGCTCTCTCAAGTCTCCCGTCCATTCTCTCGCACATAACTCACTCCCCCTCCCCTTTCCCGCTCCGCTCTCATCTCTCCTCTCTGCCTCGCGCCATGCCTGTTCCCTGCAGGGGCCTGGAAGGCCAGCCATGGCGCATGTACGTGCTACTGGTGCTGTTGCCGCTCTCCTTCTATGGTGCATGCCTGGTTGTCTTTGCTCTGCTCCACTGCGCCATCCTCGTTTGCGGTAACGCTCCCTGACTTTGTCTTTTTACTCATCCGCATGTCAGCACGGTGCCATCTTATGTATTTGTCTGCACATACAATTAGATTTTATTATTCAGCATAGTGTCGTTCATTTCACTGCTATATTATGCTTTTTGTGCTGTACGTGGCAGATGTGACCACTAAGGAGTATATCCGATATCAGCAAGGCAAGGCGACGCCATCCGTCACCCATCAGCGGACCTGGGAGGGTCTGAAAGAGAACTTGCATGACGTGTTCTGCGCAGAAGTTAAGGCGCGGCCGCGTGTACCCTAACATTTGTGATAGTATCAGGTTCCTGAAAACGTTTGTATTCTCAGGGCGTCATTCAGTAGACCCCATTAAATTGTCCCCTTCATGCATAGTGCCTGCTTGTAAATTTCATACCACAGCCAAATAATTTCCTCGAACATAAAACAGCATCTAATGTAATGTCTTTTACATTAACGTGGAATGTTCATGTACACTGATGCGATTTTGTCCATCGCGGTATCGAATTCGCTTGCATAGCTGTATTTACCCTCTTTTCCAGCCAAACCATCCCATCGGCGTCTCGACTCAAAACTGGAGGAGACTTCCTTTTGTTGCTCTCTCAATTCGTCTTCCCCCAGCTCACTCAATCGCTTTCATCACTTGTCCTTCATTCTCAATACTCGAGGTTCTTAGTTCAGTTCCTCGATTCCCTTTCTCATTCTCCGCTCTATCGCAATCAACCAGTCTCGTTGCCTCTCGTCGGCTCCGATCGAAAACCGTACGGTTCTCTCTATTACGTTCCCATTAGTCTTCTAGTATGGCAAATTTAAGCCGTTCGCTGGCAAGCCGCATGTGTCTCTCTCAGCGTGCACGCGGCTGGCTAGTGAAGCGCAATCGCGCGTGGCGTCTACCAGATAACCTTCATTCTCGGCTCCGTCTCATCACAGGCCACTCGCTCTTACTTAGGCCAGTAGGGAGCTGTTCTCAGCCATCCTTCGTCTTACGCTCGTCTCTGTACAGCTCTATTCGACTCCACCACTCTAGTCGCTCGGCACCAGCCACGCAACGACAAGCATTCGTCGCTGCGAATTCCGCAGAACCCATCTTGTCCTTCTCTGCGAGGGACGTTCGCTGCTGCTCGGCTGTTCGTGGGGCTCAAGAGGCCCTCCTGCTGCCGCCATGGCTGCAGCCGCGGGGTCGCTTCGATCCGCTGCAGGTCGCACCAGAATGAGCCTAGCAGGCTCGCGTGCGGCGTGCGCGGAGAGTCATAGCGATAGCGGTGTCTATTGCTGCTCTTGCCGCTCCGAATCTGCCCGTCTGTTACCGGCTGGCTTAACGGTTGCCGTCTGTGGCTCTTCCGCGGTGCGGCTTGTGAGCCATTCTGGCCAGAATGGCGTCGGAATGAGTCGTTCAGAAGGCGAGAGTGCCTCACCGCTCGCGTTAGTAGCGGACTCTGCATCTGCTCCTAAACTCCAGGCATCGTCAGCGCCTTCTCACCCGCATACACACGCGCGCGCCCATCCCCGTCCCTCTGCCTCTCTTCCCGCGCCCGCGCTGCTTCCGCTCGTCCTCCTCTGCCTGCTCCCCGCGCTCTGCCTCTTCCCGTCCCCCGCCTCCGCCTTCCGCCTCACCTTCCCCCCTGCGCGGGACCTGAACGATGACGTGGACTCGCGGCTCTACCAGCCGCCATGTGGCGTGCAGCGCGGGCCGCGGAGCCCGCTGACGTCACTGACAGCTGGCGCGGGCCTGAACGTGACGTGGAGCCTGGCGATGGCGACAGCTGGCGGGTTCAAAGTGGAGCTGTTGCGACCGCTGGGGTGAGTAGTGGGTGGAGTTGAGTGGGCGGGCGAGGGAGCTGCTGCATGCATACATAGCTGTCTCCACAAGACTAGCTTCGACAGAACAGCATCCTTTCCTGCATGAATACATCAGCTTTGATTCACCCCAGACGGACCTTCATTCGTATTTCCCTAAACCCTTGCCGTTTTCCTCTCTTCCCACGTGTCTCTCTCAGCGCTCGCTCCCAGCTGTTCCCATGGGAGCAGCGGATCCTGGTGGTGGAGGGAGTTGATGGCAAGGTGCTGCAGCGTTACGCAGTTACCGCACTGACAAACGAGACGGCAGCGTCATGGGGCATAATGGCCAATCCCACGGCTCAGTGGGCGATGGTCACTCTCCCTGCTGCTCCCTGCTTCGGCTGCACACTCCGCCTCACACATCAGGTGCCCCTCCTTGCTTCTGTCCCATGCATGGGCTCCGTCCGTCGGTAGTTGGAGTTGTGAGATTTCTCTATCAAGACAACCTTTCGCGTCATGTGCTCCCTGTGATTTTGTTTCAGCTCCCTCGGCTGCTCCCACACATCTGCACTCTCACCCACCCCCCTCCCCCGCCTCTCCCCTCCCTCTCACACCCTTTCTTCCTCGCCCTCTTTCCGCTCGTGTGTAATACCCTGCTCTCGACCTTCCTTTCGTGGGACCCAGACTCCCTCATTGCCTTCTAACCTTCCATGCCCGTCTGCCTTTCTCACCCCTCTCCATGTCCTCCTCTTCCTCGTCTCGCCCTTCCTTCCCTCTTACCCCCTCCTCTAACCAACCATTCCCACCAGGCGCTAGCAGCAGCAGAAGAGCCGTACGTGCGGTGGAGCTGTGCGGATGTCACGGTGGTGACAGCAGGCTCCAATGCATGCCACGGCTGCAGTGGAGGCATCGCCCCCTGCGCCCTCTCGCTCCTCTCTGACTCCTGGCAGTGCGCCTGCCCTGCCCAGGTGCCTTACCCGCCCACCGCCCTTCCGTATACCAGTACATGCTTTTGTTCTCCTTGTGTGACGTTTCACATCCGCCTGTTTCGCACATGTTTTTTCCAAGACTTCGCTGGATGCTGGCTACTGACTGTAAGGCTCAGACCCAGCCTTCCAATCTCCCTCCTCTCCACTACATGCTCTCCCATGCTGCAGCTGCCTCTGTCAGGGTCATACTGTGAGCGCAAGGACGAGTGCATGGTGGACAGTGACTGTGGCGTGAATGCCAAGTGCATTGACATCCTCTCCTCCAACTACCCCACAAGGTCAATTCTACCTTTGTCCCTGCTCCACCTCCTCCACTCCACGTATCCCCTACTACCCTCCCTCCCTCCCCCCCCTCCCTCTCTCCTCCTCGCCTGTTGCCTCGTCTCACGCTGTCTAGTATCCCACTTTCTCGCCACTTTCTTTACCCTCTCGTGTTCATCTCTATCTATCCAAATCTCATCCTCTCTCCATCTCATCCTCTCTCCATCTCTCCCCCTCACAGGCAGTGCTTCTGTGCGGAGGGGTGGATGGGGCCACAGTGTGCGCAGCGCTCGCCCCTGTCCCTGGATGCAGCAGTAGACACCACCTCCTGGTGGAAAGAGTATCCTTTCAACCTCACCATCCCCATCACCACCACCACCGCCACCACTATCAACACAGTCACAAACGCTTCTGCCGGCGGCCTTATGACGCCTACCATCTCTGCCTCTTCGGCTGCTTCTGCTGGTGTTGGTGCTGTGGGTGACGGCGCGGTTGCAGGCGGTGGAGTGCGGTACATGACAATATGGTGGAAGATACTGAAAGATGATGCCCCTGATGCGTCGCTTCCCGGGGGATCCAACCTTGCCTCCTTTGGTCCGCAGGTGTGTGCTTTCAGCAGCTGTGTGTATGTGCTTTGTATATTACCTTGACAGTCCTTCTGCTACTGTCCAAAATAGGCATTCCCCCTGGTTACTGTATGTGCCTTGGTAGGTGGTTAGAGTGTTGCCTGCCATTGTCTCTACCTACCATCCATCACCCGTGCTAATTTCCCCTCCCCTCCCCCGTCTTCTGCATCCCCACCGTCCCTCCTTTCCCGCGCATACAATACAACTTCACTCCAGGTCGAAATGGCCATTGCAGCACCCACCACCAGCTACGTTGCCATTGGCTGGCGCCCGGCTAACCTCCCCTGGGTCCCGCCTCCCAACATCAACCCCTCTCGTGCCACGCCCTTTCCCCCGTCGCCTCCTTCCCCTCCTCCGCCCTCGCCTTCCCCACCGCCCCCTGTTCCCCGCCCTTCGCCTCCTCCGCCCCCTGCTCTCCCTCCTCCTGCTCCTCTCCGCACTCCCACTGGCCGCCGAAACCGCCGGTCCCCTCCCGGGGAGGAGAGGAGGAACGGAGGAGGTGCGCAAGAGAGGAGAGGCAGGGGGGAGGAAAGGAGGGATGGGGGAGATGGGGAAGATGAGAGGAGGGTTGGGGGAGGTGCGAGGGGCGAGAGGAGGGGTGGGGGTGGTGCAGAGGAAGAGAGGCAGGGTGGGGCAGGCAGGAGAGAGAGGAACAGAGAACCACAAGAGGGAAGGGACGGACGAAGGTCAGGAGAAGGGTCCAACGCACGCTCTGAACCACAAACAGAATCGCAATCAGATTCTAGGGATTTCAGTGGGCGTGAGAGTGCCAGCAGCAGGCGCAGGAGTGGAGGCAGCAGCAACAGGGCAGGCGACAATTCAGCAGATGGCAATGCAGCAAATGCCGATGTAGCCGAGGCTGATGCAGCAGGCGGTGACACTGCAGCGGATGGCAGCGGCTCAAATGCTCGTGGTGTGAGGGGACGAGAGACGAGGGAGACTGATGCGGTGGCTGTTCCGGCTGTAGCAGCAGGCGCCACTGCTGCAACTGCACAACCTGCTGCTACAACTGCTCGCCCCGCTGCTACAACCGCTCGCCCCGCTGCTACAACTGCACAACCTGTTGCTACAACTGCACAACCTGTTGCTACAACTGCACAACCTGTTGCTACAACTACAGCTCGTCCCAGATCCACCACTTCTCTCTCCGCCTCCTCTTCCTCCTCGCCCTCCTCTGCATCCCTCACTCGAACCACCGCTGCTGCCACGCCCCCTCCCTCTCAGCCACCGTCAATCGTGGTGGAGAGGCAGCACAGAGTGCCAGTGCGGGAGGCTTCAGCAGGGGCCATGCCGGCCATGTTCCAGCAGGATATGACCATTGTCACGGCCCGAGGGGGTTACTACCGCATCCAGGTGCGTGTTATGAGGCGCTTTAAGAGCCATAACGGCAACGTTCCCGCTTGTATTGGTTCAATGTCAACCTTCTCTCATCCGTCCTTCATCCCCTCTCTCCTCCTGCGCCTAACTCCCCCCCCCCCACACCCCTCAATCCCCCGTCTTCCCCCCCTCAACAGGACGCATGGACGTTTTCCACACATGGCATGCCCATAGCAGACACAGCAATGGGCGGCACAGATGATATTACTGCTGCTACAGCACATGAAGACGCTGCCTCTGGCACCACCTATGTCAAATTCAGACGCCCTCTCCTGCCTTCTGATGACTGTGAGTGTGCTCTCTTGCTCTCCATGTTTCATTCGCTGTGTCTCACTGCTGCCACTGCGACGCTTGATGAGTGATTGTGAATGTGGCATGCTCGTTTTTTTTTCAAGCCTTTTGCTTGTCCCCCTTTCCTTCCCCCATCTGGCCCCACCATGCAGCGTTTGACCATGCCATCACTGATAATGACTTCACCCTCGTCTGGGCCCTCGGTCAACCCTCGCCCGCCTCCCCTTCCACTAGTCCCCTCCTTTCAGCCGCTTCTGCCTCAACCACTCAGACTCTCTCCACCCTCCCCTCCTCCTCCACCTCTGCCTCGCTGCCTCCCCTCGTGCAGCAGCAAATTGCGGCGTTTTTCAGGTACGCCGAGGTTACATACTTCTCCTGCTGCCACTGCCACTGCTAACCATTGCCTCTGCCCCTGTTACCCATTGCCTCTGCCCCTGTTGCCCACTGCTGACCCTGCTGCCCCTGCCACCACTGCTGCCGCTGCTCATGCATTGCCTGCTTTTCACCCAGCGATTTCTCTTGCAACGCCGCTCCTTCCTCCTTGGTAAATCCTGCATTTGTTTCTCCATCTGACCTGCCCCATTGCCCCATGTGCAGGGCGGACGAGCTCAAGTACCATGGCGGCAGCACCAGCAGCCGGGGGTCATTCCCGCGCATCAACCTCTTTCTCGGCTCCGACCCTCTCAACTCCCGCCTCTGCCAGCCCTCTCCCCTGCCTGGCTTCTCATGCTCCCTCGCCCTGCAAGGCGATCGGTAGGCCTCCGCTCTCGCTTACACTCAAAAGACAAGTCCGTTAGAATACAAAAGACAAATCCGTTGGTTACTATGCACCCCCATGATGCCTTGTGCTCTTCTTGTCACGCCCAATACACCCCCCCCTCACACATATAGCTCTTTTCCATTACATCCTGTCTAGGCCCAAATCCCCTTTTGCGCTCCCCCTCTCTTCCCCTCCCCTGCCTGTACAGAGTGACCCTCCATTGGGCCCTCCTCCCCACCTCCATTTCCCTCGCTCTGCAAGTCACTGACTGCAAAGGATGGCTCTCTGTCGGCTTCACTCCCCCCCCCTCCCCCTCCTCCTCCTCGTCTCCTTCTAAGCTCTCCGCCCTTGGGAGCTACGTGGTGCTTGCTGATGTCAGCCAAGCCAGTGCTGGCGTCAGCCGAGTGACTCCCTATTCACGTGCAACAGCAACATCAACAGCCGCAGCAGCAGGAGCATCTGCAGGGGGAGGAGCAAGGACGACAGTTGGAGGAGCAGCCGTGGGAGCATCCAGTGGAGGAGCAGGCGCAGCAGGGAACCCAGTAGTGCGGTCATTCATACTTGTCAACCACACAGCGCAGGGACTGCAGAGCAGCAACCGCTTAGAATTCACCAATGCATCAGTGACTCTCGTCAACGGCTCTGCGCTGCTCTCCTTCTCACGCCCCTACACCCAGCGCAACGGCGCCCTGAATATCTCCCTTGGGGCGGACGAGCGCTCGCACCTCGTGTGGGCCTTTGCTCCCAATGCCTTCTCCTCCTCTGGGGGTTCTGGGTCCCCGCCCAACCACTATCTCCAACACAGGTACACATGCGCTCCTTTTGCCCAGGGGCTTTTCGTTCAATGTTTCTCCGGTGCCTGCTTCTGTTTTCCCCTCTGCTTCCCTCGTCTCCGTGCATGAATCATATTTCTAGTTTGCGCCATAACTTAATTGTTGTTTCCGCTCACGCCTCATCCTTCTTATCCCCGCCTTTGCTCTCGCTCTCTCCTTTCCCATGTTGCCCCCCAGGGGTTCGCTGTGGTTGAACTGGGCGTCAGGGGAGGCGCAGGTGCAGGCGTCGCCTTTCCCGTGGCTCATCGCTCATTCATCCATCATGGCCTTTGTCTTCTGCTTCCTCCTCCCTCTCTCCGCCGTCGCTGCACGGTCAGTCACGCATGTGCTCATCCATTGTCTCACTTAGTTGTCAACGTTTTCATGTTTTGTTTCTCCTGATTTTGGCAGTGGCGTCCTGATCACCCCCTCCCCACTTACTCTTGCACCCTTTCTGTCAACCCACTCCTTCACCACCTTCCTGCAGGCTCCTAGCAGTACGCCCCGACTCCAACCGCCCTGTCTTCCACCCTCTGCACGTCCTCTCTGCTCTCCTCACGCCCCTCCTCCTCGTACCAGCCCTCGCCTTTGCCATCCACGCAGCTTCTTTCTTTCGCACAAACGCCGCCCTCCTCCTCTCCATAGCCCCCTCCGCGCCTCACCGGCTCGCAGCCCTGCTCACCCCGCACGGGCTCCTGGGCGGCACGCTTGTCCTTTTCCTCGTGATTGAAGTGATCTGTGCGCTGCTGTGCCGCCCGAGTCCTGGCTCGCCTGGGCACGCATGGTGGATGCTGCTGCACAGAGTGCTGGGAGTGGGGTTGCTGCTGGGAGGAGCAGCTAATGTGGCTTTGGGAGCTCTGCAGCTAGCTATGCTGCTGGGCCAACCACTCTGGGTGAGTCAGTCAGGGGGACAGTCAGGGGTGGTGTGTGTTTTTCATGCTTACTCTCATCTGTCAACTCCCTCTCAACTCCCTGTCAAGTTCCTGCCACCCTCTAATCTGTTAACCCTCCACACATCAACTAACTCTATCGCCCCTGCAGTTGTGTGTGGGCGTGCCTCTGCTCCCCTGGGCGCTCCTTTCTCTGCTCTACCTGCTGCTGCAGCTCGCACGCCCCACACCAGCAGCGCCACCCAAGCTCCAGGCTGAGGATTTCGACGTGCTCGCTGCTGCCATGCGCACCAAAGTCACTGGGTTCAAAGGGGCAGGAGCGGCAGGGGCGAACGGCGGGGCGGTGCAGGGAGAGGGGGTGAGCGGTGGGGTTGTGGGGGGGCTGGAGGAGTGGCCGCCTGCTGGGGTGAAATGGCCCACGGCTCGCAGATCGGCGCCTGGTGAGATCATCAAATCAGCTGCTTCACATGCCATGCCTCTCTTACCGTATGCGTTGATGTGTGTCGTGTTATGCCACGCTGTGCCAGTCCATACCATGTCGTGGCATCCCATCTCTCGCTCATAATTATGTTTTACCGTCGTGATTTTCCCGTCTGATTTGTGCAGGAACCCCCTCGGGGCCGCAGCGGCAGCAGCAGAGCCCCACGCGCAGCTTCGGCAGTGTGAGCGAGCTCGGCAGTACCACAGACTCCTCCCCGCCCCAAAGAGAGCCCCTGTACGGCCGCCCCTTCATCTCCCACAGCAGTGGGGAGAGCAGTAGCAGCGGCGGGGAGCAGCGCAGGTGGCAGGGTGTGCGGCGCGGGGGGCGGCGGGCGTGGCAGAGAGGGCAGGAGATGGTGGAGACTTCACCATGGGAAGTGCATGAAGAGGCCCGCAAGTATCGTGCTGATCAAGGGAATGTGTAGATTAATGATTGGTTAGCTCTGTTGTGTGTCTATGTATGTGTCAATCTGTATTATAAAGCAACACTCACCCTCAAAACAAAACAATTTGTCTGACTAGTGATGTGAACAAGGGACATTTACTCGCATAACCATATCGTTTACACCCAGCGAGATTGCGAACACTGCACAACACGATAACGAATCTAGAGGGCTGTAATTTCACTCGGCGATTACTTTCGCAACGTTTCCGCTTCGCACACTTTACCACAACCGCCCACCACTCTTTTTCAACCGCCCAGCCACCGTTGGTGCTGCAGGATTCAGGCTTGCTGCTCCTGAGATCCACACCAGGTTGCTGCGGGTGAGCGGAGCGGAGGTTGCGGGGAGGAGTGGCAGGCACGGCGGGAGGGAACACTGCCTTTGCCTCAGCCTCTGTCACCCTTGCCATCCCTGCATCCCTGCTAGCCCCGCCGTCGCTGCCAATTCTGCGAGTCTTGCCGTTCTTGCCTGTCTTGCCAGCTCGGCCGATTCGTCGTTGGACGTTGCTCAATCGCACGCCTCGATCTCGCCATCCATGGCGTCAGCAACTCCATCGGACGGCCTAGCGCAATCCCCGCCTCCTCCGGCGGCGGAATTCACAGCGGATCCCGCCACGTCAGTGGCGGAAGCTGGTGCCACGTGGCAGGCGGAGGCGTCGTCACAGACGCGGTCGCAGTCCCCGTCGGCCGAGCTCGCGCGGCAATCCCAAGGTCCGGTCGAGACACCCGCGCAAGACCCTGGTGCTGCGGGAAAGGGTGAAGGCGGTGAAATTCCCGCGGGTGATTCTTCCGGTGTGGATGAAATTCCCGCTGATGGGGGTGTACCCTCTGCCGCTGCTCCCACTCCTGCTGCTCCTGCTGCTCCCGCTGCCTCCGCTGCTCCCGCCGCCCCCGCTGCTCCCGCCCCTCCCGCCGCTCCCGCTGTCGGTGAGGAGCAGTCGACTGGTGGGTCAGTCGGCACTCCTGCGGCCGCAACCACTGCTGGCAGTAGCCGGGGGCTTAACGCCGCCGCTCCCGCCTTCGTCCCGCAGTTTGCATGCGCGGGCGTAGGCGCAGGCGCAGACGTTGCGTGGCTGCCGGCGCACCTGCTGCCCCCGCAGCCGCTGCTTCCACTGCCGTTCAACACGCCTGGAGCAGCGCAGCAAGGAGTCGCCGGTGCGCCGTTCGCATGGTATGGCGGAGGAATTCCCGCGCACGCGCTGGCGCAGGGGGTTGGCGGAGGGTGGGGGGACGTGGGGTGGGAAGCGGGGGGGGTTTGGGGCGCGCAGGATGCGGTTGGGGCGATGTGGGGAAGCGGAGCGGACAGCGGAAGGAGAGAGGGGCGCGCGGATGGGATGGCGGGTGGTGGCGGGGCGGGCGGAACGGCTCGTGTGAGTATCCTGCACACAAGTATAGTGCGCTGCGTGCCGTGCTGTGTGTGTGTGTGTGTGTGTGTGTGTGTGTGTGTGTGTGTGTGTGTGTGTGTGTGTATGTGTGTGTGTGTGTGTGCAATGAGAGTGTACCATGTCTCACTGACTTACTACGTGTAAGCAAGTAGAGCGAGGGTGGCTAACTGCTGAGGGTAGTGGTGGATGGATGTGCAGGTGCAAGGGCAGGGGCACGGGCGAGGGCGCGGGCACGGACACGGGCAAAGGCATGCGCACCCACAGGGCCACCTGCATGGGCACGCGCGTGGGCACGCGCATGGGCAGGGGCATGCGCAGGGGCAGCAGGAGAAAGGTGCAATGGGGAGGAGGGAGGCGGGAGGAGGAGGCGGAGTGGGAGGAGGCGGAGGCGGAGGGGGTATGGTGCGACGGTCCAAGGCGACGTTGGAGCAAGAGGCGGATGTGAAAGAGGTGCTGCTGAAACTGGTACGCGGTGACGAGGGGTTGGGAGTGGCGGAGATGGGGTTGAGAGGGGAGAGGGCGAGAGGTGGAGAGGGAGAGGAAGAGAGGGATGGGGGGTATGGAAGGAGAGGGAAGGAGACGGGTGAAGGGAGTGGTTTGTCTGGTGTGTAAGTGTGGTTGATGGAAGAGGGGAAGAGGGCGAGCTTGTGTGCGTGAATGTGGTGTGTGGCTTCTGCCTGTCGTTATTGTTTCCTTTCCTGCCGAGCCTGTGAAGTTGTGAACTAGTGTACGTACCTTCAAACTGAATATGGCTGCATGTGTGCATGCGTACATATGTGCATTTATGTATTCCTGTGTGCATGCGTACATATGTGCATGCATGTATTCCTGTGTGCATGCATGTATTCCTGTGTGCATGTGCATGTGTGCATGTGCAGGTGGAATTCTATTTCAGCGATCACAACATGCCATACGACCATCACCTCCTATCCATGGCCAACCAGGACCCCCAAGGCTTCGGTCAGTGCTCTCTCCCCTCGGAGTCGTTGCAAGCTGCAATGCAACGCTCTCTATGCACACCAGTGTCCAGAATTCAATTGATGCTCTAGTCTTTGTCATGGCCATGGAGAGATTTGAAGCTCAGGCTTCAGTTAATGCCCTCTATAGTGAGGGGGTGAATGAGCAAGTGAGGGAGTACGTGTGGGAGTGAGCGGCTGGCATTGTAACTGGTTGCGAGTTTGTCTAGCCATCTCTCCTTGCTGTTGTCTCTGGGCCGTCCTTCCCTTCCCCTCCACCCACACTTTTGAGTCGACTCAAAAGCCACCCACACCACACCCCACTGTTAATGTTAGCCCTCAATCTCACATTTGTACTTGTACTTTTTATATCCTAGTTAAGTGTAATTTGCACTTTGTGTTTGGTTGGGTGTACACCCACATCCCATCCAAACCCAAATGTGACCTCCAAGCAATCTCCAACCCACCAATTGGAGATTGCCTTGGGATTACCTCCAATTGCCTAGGATTGTCCCCGATTCTCTCCCCACCCTTACCTTGCCCATTTCCAATGTACTTAAAGAGCCTTGAGCTCATTACTAATGTATGTATTCTAAGCTCAAGTTCTAACACCCACCACACCCCACCGCATCTCACCACATCACACCACACCAGTGTCGCTGTGGTACCTGGCGCAGTTCAGGGAGGTGCGGTCCATGCTGCATCCCAGCATGTCCACTGCACCGGGCCCCATCGTTGCACTGCTAGCCGATGCCATCCGTGAAGCCTCCTCCTCCACTACCCTGGTCAGTCGCTCGCACAGTAACTTTAATCCTGCCTTGATTGCTCGTTCACCTCCTCCCTCCCTGCCGCTTCGTTTTGTCTCTGTTTTTTTGTCGCTGCTGCCTTTTTCTGCCACCCTGCCCATGACCCCGCAAGTTTGTACCCATGATTCAAAGTAAGACTTTTGCGAGCTGGCTCAAAGAAAATTTGTCATTCCCCTTCTGCTGCTTCTGACCGTTGCCATGCCATGCCATGCCATCCTGTGCCATCCTGTGCCATGCTGCTTCTCTGCTCTGCTGCTCTGCTCTTCTGTCCTCCCCCATCAGGTGTTGAGTGACGATGGCATGCGCGTGCGCAGGCAGCAACCACTGCCTTTCACAGACGTGGATGAGCTGCAAGCACGCACAGTCGTTGCTCACAACCTCCCGCCCAACATCTCCCTCTCTGCTATAGAAGATATTTTCAAGCAGGCTGGCAGGTTAGCATGGGGGGTTTCTGGGACAACGTGTGAGGAATGGAGTTGTTGGGCAGCTGTAAGATAAATAAGAATTTATGTGTGTATATTTCTGTGATGTTAGGGTGGTAAAATAGTGAAAGGAGGAGTGAGAAAGAGGTCATCGAATGGATGGAGATGTGCCATGGTTGGTCCTATGCCTTTCCTGTCACTGACCATCCCTTCACCTGCCCCACCTTGTGTCCCTTCCCCCCACTTCTTCACCTCTTTACATTCCCTCCCTCCCCTCCCCCGCTAACTTCGGCATGTGTGTGTGTGCGGTGGTTGTCTGGCAGGGTGCGCATGGTGCGTCTCTGCACCCCACAGGCGTCAGGTCACACTGCTTCTGCTGTGGCCCATGTGCGAGTTGCCGCTGCTACTGCCCCTTCTACCGCTGCTGCTGCTGCTGCTGCCGCTCCTTCCAATGCTGATGCCCCTTCAGCCGCCGCTGCACCTGCCGCTGCTGATGCCCCTTCAGCTGCTGCTGCTGCTGCCCCTTCCGCTGCTGCTGACCTGGTTACTGGTCCCAGCAACAGCCATGGGGAGGCATCATCATGTGCGAAGGTGAGGTGCTGTCAGTAGCGGACAGGTGGGCTGCGGAGGTCTTTATTTCCATCAGCTTAAATGGTTCCACGGGGAGGCATCATCATGTGCCAAGGTGAGGTGTACTGGGATGGTGTGGCTGCAGCGAGTGGTGCTGTGGCTGTTAGCAGCTCATAAAGTCTGGCTGAGTTGGTATCTGAAATCTCAAAATTCGCCAGTGTGCTTGCAGGTGGGGAGACGTGGGTGATTTGAGTGGCGAGAAGAAGCGAAAGAAATCAGTGCTGTTTGAGGTGTCTGCGTTTTTTTTATGTCTTGTGTATTTTCGACATTGTGTGTGCACACATGCGCATGGGTGCACGTGCTTCCATGTTCAATCCATGATGCAACGGGCTCTTTTTCGTGTGTGTGTGGATGTGTGTGTGCGTGTGCGTGTGTGCGTGTGTGTTTGCATGTGTGTGCGTGTGTGTGTACGTGTGTGCATGCGCACGTGCGTGCGTGCGTGTGTGTATGTGTGCGTGTGTGCGCGTGTGTGTTTGCTGTGCACGTGTGTGTGTTTTTGCACTTTCCTTCGCCTCCATGTGAACCTCGCCTTATCTTTCTCAGTTCCACGCATTGATCGAGTTTGAGACAGTGAAAGAAGCTCACAATGCGGTATGTCTCTTCATTCCCTAACTGCGATTACTTATAAGAATTCTCACAAGTACTTACTGCCTAACCCGCTGCTCTACCCTCACTTCTGCTCCTCACTTCGTTACCTGCCCTCTGCTTCTTCCCACATGCACGAGCACCAGCCACATGACCTGCCCCAGCTACCATTTCTCAGCTATCCTCTTCTCTAAGTTTTTAATCATGGATGGTGACACACGCGCACTGCGCTTCCCGCCACATATTCACCCCTCGTTTTTTCGAGAATTTTAAAGCAGTTTCACCACCAATTCACCGTTCCCATGCTGACAGGTGGAGACACTGAACAGCAGCGACTGGCGCCATGGGTTGCACGTCAAGCTGTTCAAGAAACTCACTAAAGTAAGTCCTACTGTTTTAGAGCCATTTCATTAACGTATGAAATCACCATTGGCACAAAAGCCGCTCAACATATATTTTTTAAAATGTTGGCAACATATCATGCTCGTGTTGAATAGTTGCATATATCCTTATGTCTGCTGCTATTGCTTTTTCACGATTTCAGAAGCAGCTGATGCAGCAGCAGCAGGAGCTGCAGCAGCAGCTGCAGAAGCAGCAGGAGCAGTGGCAGCAGGAGCAGTGGCAGCAGGAGCAGAACAAGTTGAATCAGCAGCAGGAGCATTGGCAGCAGGAACAGATAAAGGTGAAGCAGCACCAAGCGCAGGTGAGGCACGAACGGCAGCAGCGACGGCAGCAGCAGCAGCAGCAGCAGCAGCAGCAGGATCAGCAGAGGCAGGGGCAGCATGCTGAAGCAGCAGGCAAGGGCAGAAAGTCAGCTGGCATGGCTGGGGTTCCTGGGGACACAGGGGACAGGGGTGGGAGCGGCATGGAGCGGATTGATAAGAGCAGCAGGAGGGGAGGAGAGGGAGGGCATGCACTGGCGACTGGCAATGAGAACAAGGTGAGTGGTCTGCCCCAGTCTGCTCAATTTGTTTGACAGCCAGTGATGCTAGTGTATCATAATCGTGGTGGCTGTACCTATGATGTGAAGCTGATCCAAACCTTCTTTTTTGTTCTGTTTTTTTTTTATATATATTTTTTGGTGCCCTATCACCCACTGCCAGCTCCTTCCGATTACTTCCATGCATGTACCTCCCACGTTGTCCTTATTTCCATTTCCTAAGACCTCTATCCCCCTTGTGTATGTCAGCACATGCACATGCACATGCACATGCATGCACAGGCATGTTCAGGAGACCCCCTGTGTGACTCCTGTGCCGCTGCGCCTGCTGCATCGCCCACGGCTCACGGCAAGAAGAGCAGGGCAGGGAAGGGCAGGGGGCGAGGGGGAGAGGGAGGGGGCAACAAACACGGGGCAGCAGGGGGAGCGGGAGGAGCAGCAGCCGGCCGGGGTGGGGCAGGAGGGGTCGGTTCTAAAGGGAGTGCGCCTGGTGCAGCAGCTGCTGCTGCTGGCGGCAGTGGCGGCGGTGGTGGGAGCAGCGGCGGTGGGGGGGAGGCAGTGGGGAGCAAGCCACTGCCAGGGCCGAGGGGTCCGGATGGCAGCAGAGGGTTCTCCCTGGGGAGAGGGAAGCGCATGCCTGGGTCGTGAACGAGGGTGGAGGAGAGGGGGGCTTGTAAACGACTTTTGAGGCGCCTCAAAAGTGGAAGCAGAGGGAGTGAGAGGGCTCGTGGAAGTTGTCAGGTTTTGACTAACAAGTGCTACTAGTGCTACAAGTGTCACACGTGCTTGCTCTGGCATGGCAACAGTGGGAAGAGCAGGTGGTTCAGGACGTGGGCAGTTTGGAAGAGAGGGTGGTGTGTTGTGGTGTGGTGTGATTTGTCTGTGGTGGTGTGTGGTTTTTCCGACCGGGTGCTGCAGCAGTGGGCTTTGGCTGGAGTGTGGAAGGTTGTGCGCTTGTTGCTGCATGGCCGGTTCTGGTTTTCATGTGGCATGGGAGCAACGTGCGTGCGACTTGTGGTGGTAGGAACTTGGGAGTATAAGACCGGTACTTGGTGATTCTTGGTCGTGTCATTGAATCAAGAGAGGGGGGTCAAGATGGGGAGTTTTCTGTGTGTGCAGATGGGCATGTGAGTGTTTGATGTGTGGGCATCGATGTGCTGATGCTCTTGAGAGCTTGTGTGATGGTGCATCCAAACCTGTTGAGTCAGAATGGTGCACACGGCAGATTTTTCTCCCTGCCAGTTTCTATGAAGGTGTGGACTAACTGTATGAAAGGAAAAAGGAGGGTGATAGTTGGGGTGATAGCATAGAGAGCTGGAGTTGAGGGGCCATGATGTGTTACTGTCATATATCAATACAGATTCAATCGGTTGCAGAGTATTCCAGACTTTTGTCTTGCAGGTGCACTGCACTTGTAGAGGCACGTTTGCTGTGTCAATTATCCATGCCATAGCTGCAGCTTTATTGCAGCACCAGCACCATTTCGTGTAGAAAAACTCCACGTACACTATGTGCTTACTTTCTGCACAGAAGCAATTGTTACCACACCCTACCAACACAGCACTACCCTAAGTATGACACAGATAGCAACAGCCATCTATCTGCCATGCAGGTTGGGAGGAGAAGGGCTGCTGCAATGCAAAGCAGCAACAGCAACAGAAAGCGGCCTATTAAAAAATGCTCAGTGTGGAGAGCAGAGCTTGAGGCAAAGCATACGGCTTGTGGGATGCAAGTCTAGTCTACCATAAGGGCGACATCAGGTTATACATTTCACACGCGCTTACAGTTCCTGTATCGTGGTTCAGGACGGACTAACACGGTGAAAAGCGGTTCTCGACGATTACCGCTCTTCACCGTGTTGAAACAAAATTTACCGGAAAGGATGTACAAAAAGTTGTACAACCTGACATCGCCCTAAGAGTATCTCGAGAGACTGTCTTGCAAGGAGGAGAGTGAACCCTGTGGGTATGGTGAGTCATGAGACGGAGAAGAGACGTCCCGCACGGTGTGATATGCTGAACCGAAGGCAAAGGCGTGCGCTGTGGGATGCCTGCCGGTCCAGTGCGGTGACGAGCAGTCTTGGGAGAACTGGGACATTTCACAACTGGGAACGAGAATCCGGGTGGCAGCACGAGTCATGAGAGGGAGACGACCCGCACGGTGTGGTCTGCAGAGCCCGAAGCAAAGGCATGAGCTGTGGGGTGCCAGTCGACTGTGGTGACTGGCGCTGCATGCGTGGCCGCTCTGTGCCATGCTGGTTGGGAGAGACGTAGCTGGATGGAGCGCATGGGAGAGCGAGGGGAGGGGTGTTGGAGAGGAGAGGGGAGGAGAGGAGAGGGGGAGGGGAGAGAGAGAGAGGGAGCATGGGATGTTGGGTGGTGAGTGATGACTGTGGTGTTGTTGTGAGGGATTGATGGGAGAGGCTGACGACTGAGTTTTGGATAGTTGCAAAACACGAGAAGGTGATAATTCAAGGGAGGACAGGGAGCTGCAAAAGGTATTTAGAGGGAGAGGAGAGCAGAGAGAGCAGAGAAAAAGGAGAGTGCAGAGAGAGTGCATACAGCAGTGAGAGAGAAGAGCAAGAGAGAGATGTGTAAAAGGTATAAAGGCGCGGCACATACATCGAGGAGCTGGGGTGAGTGGGAGGAGGAGGTGGTGAGGAGGTGAGATCCCTGCGAGTCAATGGCCAGCTCGTGCGGCAGCAGGAGCGAGCGCGCTGAGAGCAGCGGTACGCGTGGGGACAGCGCTTGGGACTGGGTCTCTGAGTGCGAGTGCGAGTGCGAGTGCGAGTGGGCGTCAGAGCCCCCAGAGCCATGGGTGGATGGGACTGGCCCTGTGTTGCCTGGTGGGTGCATGCAGTAACTGCCAGGGGAACAGGGCACACACACACAAAAACACAGAAGCAGACACAAACAGAAATGAAGAAACATATTCACACATGATTGAAAGGGACCGCTGAAGTGAGGATGAGAGGATAAGAGGTCAAGAGAACGAGAGAATCGATGCTGAGTTGAGGCCGGAACGGGGAGGTGAGTAGCGCGGGCATGTGATGAGTCGATTTTTGAGTCGACTAAGAAATCGACTCACTACAGGCCGGAACGGGGAGGTGAGTACCTGGATGCATCGAAGTGACGCAACAGCTGGCCCTGCTGGTGCAGACTCCACTCCGTTATCTGTGAAGCAGGGCGGGCAATGAGGGCGGGGAAGGCGGGGAGGGTGGAGAGGGTGGAGATGGCAAGAGAAAGAGCATAGAGAACTGGCACACACCACACCTCCGAAGGAACTAGTGTATGAGCAGAGACGAAGTAGAGGCAGCGATTGGGGGGAAGAGAGAAGGCGGGAGGAGCGAAGGAGCAGAGAGAGTGCAGGCGCGGAGGGAGGCGCGCAGGAGGAGGAGCGGAGAGGAGTAGCGGAGGAAGGGAGAAGCGGAGGAGGAGTCACCTGGCCTGAAGCAGAGAGCGAGAAGAGCGAGGAGTGGTCCCAGAGGAAGCGCACACAGACAGCAGGGGAGAGGGGGTGCGCAGAGGAGGAGGGGGAGGTGCCTGGCAGGGTGACAGGCCAGCAGGCGATCTGCGATGCCGCATTCACGTCTGCAGACAGAGGAGTGTATTGGGGAGGGGTGGAAGGGACAGAGACAGCAGAGGGACTAAAAAAAGAGGTGTGCGGTGATGGGCAAGGGACAGGTGGGGCCAGGCAAAATAGGGGAGCGAGAGTGGCAACAGCGGAGGGCAGCCAATAGGAATAGGAACGGAAACTGGTTGTGTTGCATTGCGAAATCGAGTGGGTTGCGAGCAGCCTGATCTGAGATGTCCCAAGCCAGGAATAATCACCGAAGAGTCTGAGTGTGCCGTCAGCAGCAGCAGCAGCGAGCATTCTTCCGTTGTGGTTAAGGCAGATAGATGTGATGAGTGGGGGTGATTCTCCCAGTGGGAGATAGCCCTGTGTGCACAAGGGATAATTGATAGTTGAAGAAAGTTGGTCAGAAGTTACCCTGTGGCAGAGTGCCCTGTGTGCATGCACCTTAGGGACAACATTCAAAGACCGTTCGCGGGACAAAATTCGAGGCGCCTGAGAAGACACGCACTGCACAGATGAAGCTAACTCACAGAATGATGTATGCATGCATGCATGCATGCATGTGTGCAGCGTACCTGGAGTGACATGGTGCGGAGGCTCCAGACGGATATGCATCCATGCGGTGACGCCGAGAGGGATTTTGAGTCGATTAACATCACAACTAATGCCTGAGTGCGAGCTGACACTGACTTTGAGTCGACTCAGCGGTCTCAGTAGTGCAGCGTACCTGGAGTGACATGGTGCGGAGGCTCCAGAGGGATATGCATCCATGCGGTGCAGGTGGGGGGAGTGGTTGACGGGCCGATGACGCACGCGGGGGACTGAGAGGCCAGGAATTCCATCCGGGTATGTGAGGGTTGGAGGATGCGCAGTGGGGGATGGGGGGTTGGGGATGGGAGATTGGGGATTGTGAAAGGGGGATGCAGAGGTTAGGGGAGTAGGAAAGAGGACGAACAGAGAGAGAAAGGAAAGAGTATGAGACTCACGTGGGTTGGAGAGATGATGTGAGGGGTGGAGAGTGGTGCGGGTGGTCGAAGGCTGCTGCAGCACATGCGAAAAGATGCTCTGATGGGCTGGAACGAATGTCCAGCAGTCTGCAGAGCACGTGCACCCACACAGAGAAGGCAACTCTTAAGTCCCCTCACAATGCACGCCCACAGGGGGCATGCACGCATGCAACGCGCACATGCGCACACACCCCCCAACGCATGGCAATGCATGCAGTTCACTCATCCAGAGCAAAAGCAGTGCAAAGACACCACCATATTTTTGTTACAGGGCTTACCTGGTGTAGGGCTGTGGGTGGGGGTCCTACCTGGTGTAGGGCTGTGGGTGGGGGTCCTACCTGGTGTAGGGCTGTGGGTGGGGGGCGTCTGAGAGCATGTGCTTGGAGTGTGCGTTCCACACCTTCACATGCCCGTCTGCCAGCCCTGCCAGCAGCTGTTGACATATACACACACCATGCGCACAGAGAAAGAGATAGAATCGAAAGTGAGGAGACTGGTAGAGTCTCTCAAGGCCAAGCATAGTGGGGAAGGGAAGGGTAAGGAGAGTTTAGCAGGTGGGAGTGGTATGCGGCGCATGTGAACGCTGGTGCAATTTTTGAGGCGCCTCAAAACAAGATCACCGCATGTGGACGCTTTGAGGCGCCTCAAAACAAGATCACCGCATGTGGACGCTTTGAGGCGCCTCAAAACAAGATCACCGCATGTGGACGCTAGTGCCATGGGTGTGCGTGCGTGCGTACGCGAGCATGGGTGTCTGTCTGTCATCACTTGCGAGTGGGCTTCCTTAACATGTGCGTATGCATGCACCCACCCACACATGCATGTACGTGCATGAGCGCATTGTATCGTACCAGGCGGTCGGACTTGGCGTCCCACTCAAGCGCCTGCACAGGGGCATCCCCCAGGATCGCCGCGTCCCTCTGCCCCCGCACCACCACGCCGGCAACCCCCCGCCCCTCCGCTGCTCCCTCTGAGATCTCCGGCTCCCATATTCTGCACCACCATGGGTGATGATGGGCAGGTTGAGGGGATAGTGGATGGAGGGTTGCAGGTTGAATTCGAATAGAAGTTAGGAGGCGCTGCTGCTGCAGGGGATATTTATAAGAGGTGGCATGTGGCGTGGCAGGGTGTGTCATGTCATGTGGGTGGAGCAACAGAGAGGCAGAATGAGAAAGGAGGAGCGGATCGAGAATGAGAATGAGACTAATGAGAATGAGAATGAGCAGCAGCAGAGGGATGGTTGAGTGGTGGGGACCTAATACTGCCATCCGCCGAGGCGCTAGCGATGTTGGCGCCTGAAGGGGAGAAGCGGCAGCGAGTGATAGGCCCTGCATGTGCTGCATACACCTCCTGTGCTCCATGCCATGCCATGCCATGCCATGATTACAAAACGGGAGGTTGAGAGAGGAAGCAACGATGGGGGGTTGGGTGGGGGGGGGGAGGCGGGCTGAAAAGCGTACAAAAGCTTCTCTGAGAGGGCTACTTGCAGCGCTGGGCGATGCCAGCAATGGCATGGCGGAGAGGGAGGACGTGTACATACGCAGGCATGGCATAAGCGGGAAAGAAGGGGAGACTGCTCTGCAGGGCAGCAGAGTGGCGTCTTGTGCAACAACGATGCCCATTGCACATGGTGTGTCATGCACCATGTGCAATACAACCTACCGCACAGACTGCACCCCCCAGCAGTCACTACCTGCGACTCTGCCTGCAGCATGCCGTCACCAGCGCGTCTCTCCTCCTCCCCTGCTTCCGCCATCTCCCATGCACCACCGCCGCTGCCCCCTCGCCCCTTCCCTCCTCGTCCTTCCACCACCCCTCCTACCCTCACGTCATCCCTTCCACTCACACCGTTCTCAGAGTGTAACGCCCTGCTACCAGCCTCGCCCCTCCCTTCCACTGCACCACGCCTTTCCCCGCCCTCTCCTACCCCTTCCCCAGCCGTTCCCCCTTTCGCTCTCCCAGCTTGCACCCCTCGCTCCGCCTCTATCCCCACCTTACCACCACCTGCCTCCGCGCCTTGAGTCACAAGGCCCCCCACCCACACCACCCCTGGCCCTCCATCCCCCACTCTCTCCCCCAACACTGCTTCTAACCCCCCCTGTGCCTCCCTCTCTTCCACCTTTCCCCCATCCCTCTCCGCACCACCACCCGCTTCCTTCTCCTCCCCCCGCGCCCCACCCGCTGCTGCACTGCCACTGCCACTGCCACTGCCACTGCCACTGCCACTGCCACTGCCACTGCCACTGCCACTGCCACTGCCACTGCCACTGCCACTGCCACTGCTGCTGCTGCTGCCACTGCCCTGACCGCCAGCAGCACTGGCGGTGCCTGGGGTTGAACTTGAAAGGTTGGCTTGTCTGGCATTCTTAATCTTGCGAGAAAGGGCAACGAGCGACATGCTGCCTCCCCCCACCATCACTTGCACCGCCATTGCTCTGCTCCCCGTATGACTCCCACTTGTGCCACCACCGCTGCTGCCACTCCTTCTGCCGCCGCTGCTGCTGCCACTGCCAGCACTGCTGCCTCTCTCCCCATACTCACCTGCTCCAGCAGCAGCAGCAGCAGCAGCAGCAGCAGCAGTTGCAGGGTCAAGCGGTGGAGCAGGAACAGATGAGGCAACATGGCTAGCAGAACCACTGGCATCGCTCACCATGCTCGCGCTACCACCCTGCTGCTGTGCCCCAGGTCCGCCATTCTTGGCCTTCCCCCACCCCTGCCTTCGCCCAAACCACCCCTCCACCATACCCACCACGCCCCTCCCCCCCACAGCCGCTGTCGCAGCGGTAGCAGTTGTATCAGCAGGAGGAGCGGCAGTTGTTGCATCACCATCCCCATGGGTTGGAAGCTGCCCTGTGTTAGCACCCGCATCAGCAGCTGTAGCATCAGCAGCACTTGTAGTGTCAAAAGCAGGAGCAGGAGTGTGAAAAGCTGAAGGAGCCTCACCACGCCCTATCTTCTCACCTGCTGCTGTATACCCTCCTGTTCCCCCACACGCCCCAGCTTCCCCACCCGCCCATTCATCCCTCACCCCGTCCACGTCCCCGCCTGCTGCACCCCTTGGCTCTGATCGCTCCTTGCCTGCCTCTCCCCTCCCCCCCTCTGCTGCACATCTTGCTGCTAATGATGCTGCTGCTGCTGCTGCTTCTGGCAACAAGGGAGATTGCACAGGCAAAGGGACCGGTGATGGGGGGAATGTAGGGGGAGGAGACGTGTGGAGGGTTGGAGGGGCGGCAGAGGCGGAGGGGGCATGGGAGGGGTGGTGGTGTAGATAGGTGGAAAAGGGTACTGTGGGAAAGAGAGGGTCTTCATCCGGTGCTAGGGTTTGGAGCTTTCTGAAGGTAATGGGTGGTGGTGTGAAGTGGAAATGGGTGGGAGGAGAGGGGGGAGGAAAGAGAGGCAAGGGAGAAATCAGGAAACAAGGAGAGCCGATTGGATGACGGAAAAGCAAGGCGAGCGAAGAAACGTAGAAGAGAAGGAGGGGTGATGAGGGAAAGAGTGCAGGCAGTGATGTGCATGCAAGAGAGAAAAGATGGCGTAACGCATGGCAAACACCTAACAGACAGCAGGAAACGGAAAGGGGATGGAAAGGAAAGGGAGAGGGGATCGAGACGGGACGGAGAGGGAGGAGAGGGGAGGGAGCGAGGTGGAAGGAAGAGCGGAGGGGTCCGAGAAGGAGAGGGGAAGAAAAGGGGATGGTGGAGGAGAGGAGGAGTCGACGGGGAGTGCAAGGGGAGAGAGGGTTGGGTGGCTGACTGGCGGAGCAGGGAAAGGTCTTTGTCGCGTGCGCGCAGCAGCAGGCGCAGGCGCGCGATCTGGCGCTGTGCATGGTCGTTGGTTGCCAGCAGGTGGTGCGCGCGCCTCTGCTCCTCACAGAAGCGCAGCAGCGCCGGCTGCTGTGGCCTCGACGAGCCTTGTGTTGGGGCCGAGCCGATCGATCGCACCGGTGAGAGTTAGTGAGAGAGAGGAAGGGGCGTGCGGAGTTAAGGAGCACATGGGTAGTGGGAGTTGACGGTTGAAGGGTATAGTGCAGCGTGGTTCAGTGAGATTCAGTGCAGTGGAGTACAGCTGGGAAAGTGAGGGACAAGAGGCATGTCTGCCTAACAGGGCTACTTAGAAAAAAGCAGCACGCAGCAGAAAGGAAAGCGGGTTGTACGTAGCATGGGATAGAGGCTGGTAAGACTGGGTGAAGTCAAGGATGATAGCGATGCAACGTGATGCTAAGGGTGTGAACGGACGTGAAGGGAAGGGACGGGAAAGGACGGGACGGGAAGGGGAGCGAGCGAGGCGTGGGCAGGCGGGTGGTTGGGTGGGAGGGAAGGAAGGTGGGGGGGATATGGAGCGAGTGGAAGAGGCGGTGCAGGAAGTTGGTGAGCGAGGCGGTGAGGCTGTCCGCCCACTCGGGCGTGAAATACACCGCCAGCACCGGATGCTGCTCCGGATGCCTCATGTATGGCGCCGCTGCACGGCGGGATGGGGAAGAGGAATGGGGTGAGGGAGAGGGAAGAGAGGGGCATGGGGTGCGAGGGAGGGGAAGGGAGCTTGGGGGAGGGACGAGTGGCATGTGAATGCAGCACAAGCATTGCCCTGCCTAGTCACCAACCCACAACGCTGCCAAGTTACCAGGATACCACGTTACCACACCACACAAGCACGTCGTACCGAACCAGAGCGTCCAGTCATGGGGCGCGGTCATGAGCAGCGCCTGCACGCTCTCCCCCATGTCCTCCAGCACGCGCACCATCTCCGCGCGCCTGCCTGCGCGCATGGCGGTCACCATGAACAGCCGCTGCACGCCCATCTCCAGCTCCTCCAGCGCCGCGCAGCTCGCGCCGTCCGCGCGCGCCAGGAAGCGCTGGCGGAGCACCAGGAAGAGGCGCGCGAGCGCGCGCCAGTCCAGCGCGGGAATGAGCTCGCGCATGATGTGATGCACCACGCGCTGCGCCTGGGGGGACGCGCGAGGGAATGGCGGAAGGGCCGGGGAGGATGGGGTAGGGGACATGTAGAGAAACGGTTCGCTATGCGGAGCGAAGTGCGCCATAGAGCGAGGGGCGGTGGCGGTATCCGCCGAGTTGCGAGGAGATGGCGGAGCAAGCGCGCGGAGCGAAGCGAAGCGGAGCGCAGCCAAGCGCGCGCAATACCTGGGGCGGTTGCAGCTTGTCCGCCGCAAGTTCCGCCTCGAATGCCGCTAGCGTGTGCGCGAATCCGCGGAAAACCAGCAGCTCGCGCACGAGATCGTCCGCGTACGCCATGGGATCCATTCCGCCGCTCCGCGCACTGCGCGCACCAAAGGGCGCAAAGAATCAGGCTGGCGGAGAGGCTAGAGCGGAGTGTTGCGCGGGCAGCGAGACATGTAGCAGATACAGGAAGACGGCGGAGAGGAAGGAAGGAGAATGCGCTGAAAGTGAGGAGCGGAAGGCGGAGGGGGAATTTATGACTTGAGCGGAAAAGGAACAGAGGTCGTGACGCGAGTAATGGGAACAAGATCCCTAATCCGTGCTGAACCTTGCGGAATGCACCGCAGAGGATAGGACCTGACGGAAGCTCAAAATGCCTGCGCCGCCACCCCAGTCACCCAGCCTGCAATGTGGGTGCTACTGAATTAGCAAGCCATCTGAAATGGTTTTCTGCGCTTAGTAGTTGTACATTCTTTGCGGTCTATCTCGTTGCGTCGCGGTGTAAAACGTTTGAAGATTGCGAACCGCTTTCCACCGTGTAGAAACGACCTGGACCACGATAAATGAACGAGCTGTGAGCCTAGGGATAGATGCCCCTTCTGCAAAACACGCCTTGGGGCATCAATTGAGGTGAGGGCGACGTCAGGTTGTACAACTTTTTGTACGCCCTCTCCGGTAAATCTCGTTTCAGCACGGTGAAGAGAGGTAACCGTCGAGAACCGCTTTTCAACGTGTTGGACCGTCCTGAACCACGATACAGGAACTGTAAGCGCGTGTGAAGGTATAACCTGACGTCGCCCTGGGGTGAACTGAAGTCCGACCTACGGTAATGCCCGATTTCCAGTGGTACCGGTAAACGGTCTGAGCATTTACCGGTTATATATATGCTCATTTGTTTTATCGATAACCTGAACAATCCATATGAACATCTGAAGGTCCCCCCTACAATCCTTGGGCCTTCATAGGTCTAAGAGGCCCTACCTTCCTACCAGAGCAAGCCAACAAACCCATACCAGTTGGCACCTTGACAGCACCCGCTCCCCTCCTTACCCCTCTTGTGCATCCCCGTTCCTAGCAATCCGAATATGGCAGCAAGGAGACACCTATACACTGCAACTTTTGACGTTTGACACCAATACGATGTCTCAAAATGCCTTGCTAGCAAGGAGATGCCACACGCGCTGCGAAAGACTCGGCTGGTGGCTGGTGATGGGGTGGAGACTGTCGGGGGCTGGATGATGGATCTAAGTGTCCCTGTTGCTCCTGTGACCCATGCCCATGCTCATGCCCAAGCTCATGCCTATCCTCATGCTCATGCCCCTCCGTATGCTGAATCGGACTGTCACGGGGGCTATCAGCATGTGGGGCAGGAGGAGACGATGTGGCATTACCGTGCCATGCCATGCCATCTGGGCCATCCGTGCCATCCATGCCATCCGTGCCATCCATGCCATCTGTGCCATCCATGCCATCCGTGCCATCCATGCCATTCATGCCATGCGGGTCATGCACCTCCCAGCCCCCCTCGCCACTCCATCCACTACCCTCGCCATCCTCCCCATGCACTCCATCTTCATCCTCATCCTCTTCCCCCTGCCCATGCCCATGCCCATCCCCTTTCCCATCCCCATCCCCATCCCCATCCGTATCCCCATCCCCGTGCTCATGCCTATCCTTATCCCCATCCCCATCAGTATCCCCATTCCCATGCTCATCCTGGTCTGTATCCCCACCCCCACCCCCATCCCCATCCCCATCCCCATCCCCATCCCCATCCCCATCCCCATCCCCATCCGCATGCCCATCCCCATCACCACCACCCCCTTCCCTCTCGTCCCCGGCGCTCTCATCGCCACCTGATTCGTCCACTTCTTTTACACCAGGGGTGCTTTCCTGGGTGCTGCCTTGCGTGCCCTGCTGCCTGCTATGCTGCGTGCATACACCACCCACTGCATCCCCCTGCAAGCTACCTGCTTCCCCTTCCGCCCCTGCACCATCTGCCTCGGCTCGCACCGTCCTCTCTCCCTTCTCCTTCTCCCTCTCACCACCGCTACTGCCCGTCCCGTCTCGCTTCTTCTTCTTCCCCTCCGCTGCCTCCCCCTTCCTCCTCTCCTCCTTCTCTCTCTTCTTCTTTAGCTTCTTCTCCTCCTTCCTTCGCCGTTTCCTCTCCTTGTGCTCTGCCTCTGTCTCACCCTCCCGCATTTCCCGCTTCTTCTTCTTCCTCTCACTGTCTTCCTTTTCCTTCTTCCCATCACGCTTACCCTTCTCCTTATCCCTCTCCTTCTCCTTATCCTTACCCTTATCCCTACCCTTATCCTTCTCCTTGTCGCTCTCATCTTTTGATTTCTTCCCACTGCTCTTCCTATCCTCCCGCCCATGGTCCCCCTCCCCTCTCTTCCTCTTCTTCTTACTTCGCTTCTCCTCATTATCCCTTGTCCCTTGACTGCCCCTCTCCCCCTTCACCTCCTCCCCTCCATTTGCCCCACCACCCACAGCGCCACCAACCCCACCTATCTCACCACCACTGCTCCTCGCTCCCCCATTCTTGCCTTCTCTTTCCTCGGCATTTAATCCTTCCCCCCTCCCCTCACCACCTCCCTTCTCCCCAACTCCACCATCCCCTTCGCCCCTCTCCTTATCGTTCCCTGCAATCATCTGCTTCCTTTCCTCCTCACCCTCTCCACCTCTCTCAACCCCTCCTACTTCCTTCTCACCGCATATCACTGCCTCCCCGCCCTCTTGCTGCTTCCCTCCTAGCGGAATTTCTTTCCCCCCATCTCCCTCCCCCTCCCCCTTGCCCTGCTCTACCCCCTCCGCCCATGCACTCATCCGCCCCCCCACACTCCCGCTTCTCCCCTCCACACCATGACTCCCCCCACTCGCCTCCCCACTGCCTTTCCCCAATTCCCCTCCCGCTCCCCCTCCCCCTCCCCCTCCGCCTTCCTCTCCCCATCCCCCCCCCTCTCCCACACTCCTCTCCCCCATCCCCCCTCCATAACTCTCACTGCTCCGCTCACTCCCCCTTGTCTTCCCCCCCCTCCCCCTAACCGCCCCTGGCATCCCCCCCCCATCCCCTGCCCCTGCCCCAAGCCCTGATACGCCTCCTGCCCGCCCCATCTCCCCCTGAGCATGCCCCGCCTCCCCCCCTGCCCCTGCCATCGCACCACTACTACCTGCTTCCGCACTGGCAGCAGAGGAGGGGGATGCAGCCGTTTTGAACCTCAGTTTCACTTTCCCCACCCTCCCCTCCTCCACCCCTCCCCGTGACCCTCCTCCTCCTGCCTCCCCAGCACCACCCACACCACCAACAGCACCCACCACACCCACCACACCCGCCGCCCCTGCCTCCCCCGCTTCCCCTCCCCCTGCTCCCCCCACGCTCCCTGCTCCGCCCTTTGCCCCCACGCTGCCCGTGCTGGTGGTGCTTCCCCCCGCCCCTCCCCCAGGGGTGAGCCTCAGGCGGATGGGCTCCAGGCGGGGGGGAGGGGGAGGGGGAGGGGGAGCAGGGCGGGGGAGGCGCACAGTAAGAGACACCCCCTCCGGCCGCCTAGCAGCCCCTGCACTAAGGGATGATCCCCCAGCTCCTAACGAAACCCCTGCTCTCATACCCCCTCCTCCTCCTGCTCCTGCTGCTGTGGCAGTGCCTGCTACCCCTGCTCTTATGGCCGCTGCTGCTGCTGCCTCTGCTCGCGTGTAGAGATGTGGCGGGCGGTAGAGGGAGGAGGGGAGGTTGGCAAGAGAGGAGAGGAGGGAGAAGAGCGCGTGGCGGAGAGGAGGGGAGGAGAAGGCGTGAGGGGAGGAGAGGGAGGCGACAAGGCGATTTAACACCCCTGCTGACACCACTAGCCCTGCTCCCCTTCCTCCTCCCCTTCCTTCTCCCCCTCCTCCTCCCCCTGCAACGTCTCCTCCTCCCCCCCCTCCTCCCCCCTGCCCCCATGTCGCTCCTAGCCCTGCCCCAGACCACGGCGTCCCCCCTCCGCTTCTCCTCCGGCTGCCCTCCCTGCTCCTCCCACCCGCAGGCCCAGCAGACACAGGGTGGGACGGGGACGGCAGGGCGACAGAGGGAGCGCCGAGGAGAGCACAGAGGTGGCGGATGGAGGGGGAGGAGTGGGTGAGCAGCTTCACTCGCACGCGGAGGGAGGGATCGGCATGGCAACCCACAGTCACATGCAGCAGCAGACGCAGGAGCGGGTCTAGGGAGACCGGCTTGGGTGCGCGAGCCGGCGGGAGTGATTCAGAAAAGGGATTCTGAGAGGTGGTGGTGGTGGCGGCGGTGGTGGTGGTGGTAGTGGTGGTGTGGGATAGCAGCTGGTGCATGTACACGTCTACTAGGCAGCACAGGGCTGCTAGGCGCACAGGGGGTGGCGGGAGCACCGGCAGCAGACGCGGTAGCTGCTCCCGCTTCTCCCTTCTCTTCCTCCTCCGTTTCCTCCTCCAATTCCTCCTCTCCCTGTCGCTGCTACTGTCGCTGTCGCTGCTATCGCTGCTCCTGCCACTGCTGCTGCTGCCACTGCTACCGCTGCTACTATCACTGCTGCTACCACACCCCCTCCTCCCACCATCACCTGATCCTCCCCCTACCCCATTCCCAACCACACCCATCCCTCGCCCTCTCCCCACCTCCTCCTCCCCGTCCTTCCCCCACCGCCCTTCGCCTTTCCCCCACCGCCCCCCCTCCCCACACCGCACATACCTCCCGGCATGACTGAGCAACAGCGAGCGCAGCGCAGGGAGGTCGCAGGCGGACGGGGGCAGCGAGAGCGAGAGGTGCGTGAGCGCGTGCAGGCAGGAGGCAGACACGCGGCGGAGGGAGGAGGGGAGAATGCGGTCAAAGGAGAGGTAGCGCTGCAGCTGCTGCACCACTCGTGCAGCCAGCACGGGACTGACGCTCATGCCTGCTGCGCGCCACTCCCCTTGTAGCGCCACCTGTGCGTGTGCCTGTGCGTGTGCGTGTACCGTGTGGGGAGAGCAAGCGGCGGCAGCACTGCCGGTGGCGGTTCTGCAAAGGAAGTGGTCAGGCGGAGAGAGTTTTAGCGACGCAATGGCAGAGATGACCGCGGACAGGAAGTGCGAGTCGTCCCAGGCGTTGCGCGAGTTGTCATTGTGCAGCAGCAGCGAGAGCAGGAACGACACCGCTGCCACGGGGGAGCACCCCCGCGCATCCCTCACTGAGGCCACCGCTGCTGGGATGCAGATCTGGACAAAGTACTCTGCCCAGTCGGTGAAGTCGTTGCAGCGGGGGAGGCCTGTGAGCGGGTCGAAGAATCGGTCTTTGTAGAAACGTAGCAGGAGGTCCAACCCTGGTAGCGCACTGCTGCTGCTGCCACTGCCACTCCCACTGCCGGCCCCACAACCAGTCCCGATGGTGATAGTAGTCGTGGTGGTGGTGATGGTACCGGCAGTGCCGGGGGGTGTCTGCGGTAGAGCAGGGGAATGGTCTGTCGTGTTGGCAGCAGCGGCGGGGGGGAGCGAGGGCGACGGGGAGGACGGGGCGAAGGAGGCGGCAGTGCAGCAATGCGCGAGGGCCAGCGCTGCATCTGCACGCACCCGGCAGAACACAGAAGCATCACAGAGACACGCAAAGAGCGCACTCGCTGCTGCCGCATCCCCCACCTGCTGCAGCGCTGCCACCGCTGCTGCCTGTGCCGTCACGTCTCGGTCTCGGGCGAGCATGGCGGTCCACATGGGGACGGGTTGAGAGAGGCGCATGTGAGCTAGATACTCCCTGTCCGGATCCGCCCTCATCCACAGCACCGGCATGTCTCCCCCCCCGCCCTTCCCCTCCCCACCCGCACCTACACCGCCTCCTGCTCCTCCCGCTCCTCCTGCACCTCCTGCTGCTGCCGTGTCTGCCCCTGCGCCTGCCTCCTCTTCCCCTGCCCCCGGCGCCCCCCCTGCGCCTCCCCCTGCGCCCTTCTTCCCTGCCTGCGCCACGCGCCGCAGAGCCAGCTTCGAGTGGCACGGCAGTTCCAGGAGCAGACAGCTGTCGCCGCCCAGCGGCAGGCACGGGTGGTCAAAATGCCCCTCTGGCTCTTGTACTCTTATGCTCACCATCCCCGCCCATCCCAACTCGTCCACCAGACCTCCAAACTCCCCTCCCGCGCCCATCCCCCCACCCTCAACGCCTGCCCCCCCGTCCCTCCCAACGCTACCAGCGGCGGCGGCAGCGGCGGCAGCGGCGGCAGCGGAGGGGGGCAGGGGAGGGGCGTCAGGGGAGGAGGAGAGAGCAGTGAGGTCAGGGCGGGCCGTGGCTTCCCTCCTGGCAGCCAGCTCGATTACATTCCGCCGCCGCACGTACGCAAACGCCAGCGACAGCCGGGGGCAGCCCGGAGAGTGCAACCAGCGCGGGAAAAAATCCTTCAAAAACGGCTTCTCCAAGTTCCCAACTTTGTTCGCTAAGTGCCGGAACTGCGCGGTGCTTAGCGAGCGAAGCCGCCGGGAGGTGGCCTGCGAGCGGAGCATGAGCCTCTGGAGAAGCTTCCGGAAGGCGTCAGCACCCATTTGCCTAGCCAGCATGTCAACAACTGCCACTGCCTTGCTCGCTCTCAGTCGCTTTGCTGCTGCGTCGAGCGACACGAGCTCCGGTGGGTGCAGCGCAAAGGGCGCTGCGAACGGCTGTGGCGCCTGGGAGGATGATTGTGAGGAGGAGGATTGCGGTGGTTGCGAGGATTGTAACGCACATGCTTTCCACGCCGCTGCTGCTGCTGCCTCCACTCCATACCCTCCTCTTCCTCCTCCTCTTCCCCCTCCTCCCCCTTCTCCTGCTTCTCCGACCCCCTTCCCCCTGGCCTCCCCGCCTTCTCCGCCTCTCCCCTCCCCTACTCCAAGAGCCAAAGCCGCAGCATGTGCAGCAGACGACGCAGCGACAGCAGCAGCGAGCGACGGGCGGGGACACAGTGCAGCAGCACCATCAACATCAGCAGCGCACACCGCATCATTGGCCTTCACGCGCCGGTAACTCGCCTCGTTCCCACCCAAGCACCGCTGCACAAACACCTGCACCAGGTGCCCTGCTAAGCCCTCCACGAGCCACTCGTCCGCAGGGCTTTCTGCCGAGATGAATGCGCCGAACCACTGGGATGCGAGCGCGCGCACGAGGCGCAGGCGCGAGGAGAGTGCCGTGTGAATGTCCCGATCGGTGACCAGCAGACTGGAGTCTATGAGGACTAGTGCTGCGCCTGAGACGCACCGCCCCTCCAGCGGGCACAGCGACCGCCTGCCGCCGCTGCCCCCGCTGCTGCTGCTTCTGCTGCTGCTCCGGGTGGGATCACTGCTGCTGCACTGACTGCCTCTCCCTGCTGCTGCAGCTGCTGCTGAATCACCAGCGGCGGCAGCAGTGGCAGCAGCAGAGACAGCAGGGTCGGGTTCGCCATGGGCCTCTGGCAGGAAGAGCAGGCGGTGCGAGGGGAAGGGAAAAGGCGAGCCCATGTAGTCCTCAAACACTCGGAACGCGGCGTCTATGGTGGCGGTGGTGCGCGCAAGAGCACCGGACGCCAGCACGGGCTGCATGCAGCAGTGGGACAGCGCGGGGCAGCGCGGATCCCGCAGCTCCACGAACGGACCCACGGCGATTGCCACCTGGTGCGCTGCTATTGGTACAGGCATCTGGTAGGTGAAGGTGTGCAGAGCGGGGGAGGAGGGGGACGGGTGTGCGGAGGGGGGCTGGATGGGGGTGTGTGAGGGGAGGGGGTGCGAGTTTAGGGTGGTGGGTTGGGGCGTTGATGCGGCTCCACAAGCAGGACATATCTTACCACCCTCGCGTTCCCCCTTGCCTTTTTCACCCCCTTCCCCTGCCCCGTTCACCGCACCCTCCCCTCTTCCCCCCACACAACCGCACAATCCACACCCGCCCGCTTCGCTCCCAGCCTCCCCGCCCCCAGGGGAGAGCGAGACGAGCGTGCCAGGAGCAACTGCGCGGAGGGGCTGCGGGACAGAGAGGGAGAGGAGGAAGGAGCAGCGGTGGCGGGGGGAGTCAACACACGGCATCCAGCAGCGCGCCCTGCGCGGCACGCCCAGCACAGTGTGCATCCACCCCCCTGCGAAGTGCACTCCACCACCGCTCCCCCAATCCCCCCTGCTGCCGTTGCCACTGCCGCCGCTGCTGTTGAAGGGAGTGTGGGGCGTGCAGGCCGCATGCTGCGGCGCTAACTGGTAATCCACTCTCACTCTCACCACCACCTCCGCTCCTCCTTCCCCGCCCTCGCCCTCTCCTGCCCCTGCTCCCTCCCTCTCTCTCTCCTTCTCTTTCTCCTTTTCTTTCTCCTTCTCCTTCTCCCTCTCTCGCTCCTTATCCTTCTCCTTGCTCTCTGCTGCAGCCGCGTCTCCAGTACTCGTTGCCCCGCCCGCGCCGCTTGCTGCTGTAACCCCTGCCACTCCCCGTGCGTTTGCCTGCGCTAGCGCTTGCGCCTGCGCCTGTGCCTGCAGCGCTGCTGTCACAGCACGTGGCAGCCACACGACCAGCTCAGGCACGCGCTCCTCGTGCACGAGCCGCAGATACTGCGCGTATCCGCTCTCCGCTGCGCCCTCCACCGTCCCATCCCACCCCTCCCCCATCCCCATGCTCGCTGACCCACCCGCTTCCACCCTCCGCGCCTGCGCTTCCCGCTCCACCCCCCCTGCGCCTGCGCGCCTGCGCGGACGTTTTCCGCGCGCCCGCTTTGTCTCCTTGATGGCGGAACCCGATGCAACCCGAACACCTGCTCCTGACACTGCCCTCTCCGCGTCGCTGCCGCCACCGTCACCGTCGCTTCCGCCACTAGATAACTCGATATCCACGTCTGGCCCTAGCCCTCTCTCCCCGCCCTTCTCCGCCCGTTGTCGTTCCGCTCGTTTAACCCCCGAAGCTCTCCGCTTTCCCCCTTGCCTTTCCGCCCTGCCCTCGTCGCGCCCCCCGCGTTTAGATCGCGGGAGGGCCGGGCGGAGGAGATAGAACGGCGCGGGCACGCCATCGACTGCCACGTGGCGGATATGTAATCCGCGAGCGTGGAAGCACAGCGCGGGGCCCAGATCCCCCGCGTTCTCGCGGTCCCCCCCCTCTTCCTGCGCCTGCGCCCCCGCACGCGCCCCCCCAACATCACGTGCAACGCACTCATCCAATGAACGAGTCCGCGCAACGCCAGCGGAACCGGAAGCGCCTGGCAGCGGGGGAGCGGAAGCCGCCTGCGACCTAGAAGGAGACTCCGGCACAGCGGAAGGATCGCGGGGTGGCGGAGCACGATCCGCGGGCGGAACGAGCGGAAGTTTGGCGGACGGCAAGGAAACGTGCAGTTCCGCGAATCCCGCGAGCGATTGGTTGGCGACATCGATGCGAAGGCATAACCGCTCGTGTAACACTCGGCTGGCTCCTATGCCGCTGGCTGCCGCCGCAGATGCCGCCGCCTCGACAGCAGCTGCTGCGAGATTCGGCGACGAACAGGAGAAGTGCGCGCGGTAATCGTGAGCGCGGTGAGTAGGAAAAGCGTGGGTGGCGGACAGTGATTGGTGGATCGGGGTCGGCGACATGGCATCGTATAGATGGAACCTGGGTTGTGTTGCAAACACAGTTAGACGCTACGAACATTAGCGAGTGGAGTAACTTAACAGTGCCATTGCTATTTCTCGCGGCCCGCTACGTCAGCTGCGAAGCCGTGCTGACGAGGCACTTTTAAGTAGGAACGTGGTGTGATGGAAGGGAAGGAAATGAGAAAGGGAATCGATCATGGATGAACTGTGGAGGCAAAGCCCTAAAATAGGTTACGAGAGCGACGGCGCAATGAGAGCAGCGAGACTAGCAATGCTGACGAAGGGCCTGATGCTTCTTGTATCGGGTTCAATTTGTGCGGTGTTACATGTTTTGCATTGCGAGTGAGTGACTCCACTATGAGTTTATCGTCTGTAAATGGGAAAATAAAAGTTGTGTACAAGTGCATTTTGTCGCTCCCTGCCTATATTGGCTGTATGAGTGAAACTTTAGCACCAGAGGCGAATCACATGCCAAATGTCACGCAATATGTGGACAAGGGGGCGCTTACCTATGACATTGTAAGGAAAATCCCTTTTCCTTACTTCGCATCCCTGCTCAACGCGTACATCACTGTAGCACCTCAGTCAGCACCGTTACCACTCGCGATCATCGCATCGACAATCATCCCGCCATTTTTCGCACATCGCATCCCGACCTCACGGCTCGGCTGGTAACCCGCGCTCCGGGCCTACGCCTCGACACTTTCCCAACCTCAGTCCCAAGCTCGTCGCGCGACTACTACAGACCATTACCGTTACCACTGTAGTTTCGCTATATATTCTTCGCTCACGCCCTCGCTCATTGTATTCTTTCTTCGATAGTGCAATTCTCGTTCGTTCACTCAATTGCACTCGTAACACTTGGTTATCAGAGCCTACGATCTCAGCTCGGACCGCATCCACACCTTCGCTTCCCCACTATCTCATTTTTTTGGGGGGGGGTAGACGTCTCTCAGCGATACAGCACCGCCGCTCGTAGTGCTCTCTCGCAAGCACGCACGGCCACGACCGAGGCTCTCGCTGAGCTTGCCCGACACCCCCGCCATGGCCGATTTCACGCTCGCCACATTAACGCAGGAGCAACTTGATCGTCTCGTGCGTCAACTGGAAGATTCAGCGCTCGAAATCGCGACGCTCACGGCGGAACGTGACTCCGCCCGTCAACAGTCCACGGTGAACGTTCCGACGACATCACACACACCAACAAATGTATCGGCACATTCGGATGAACCGATCGTCATCTCGTCCGGCACACCAACACAACACGACAGCATGGGACAACGCTCAGGCACAACCAGTAATGGCGCCGCCCAGCCGATGCCTGGCATGGGAGGAAACAGGATCGCACCAAGCCCGCGGGAGCCCCGAGAAGCCCGTCGGCACGTGGAATTTGCGGCGACAAGTGGCGAACAAGCCATCATGGCACCAATGCCGCTCAAGCCGCAACGCCCGCCCTGCTTTGACCCAAGCCAACGCGGCGGTCCGACGGTTCAATCGTGGGTCTTCACGATGAACGTCTTCTTCGACGCAAATTACGTCGAGTCGGACGCCGCGAAGATCCGGTATGCAGTTTCACTGCTAAGGGGCCCCGCCATGGACTGGTGGCGAGTCATCGTGACGTCGCCACGCGCCTACGAGCCACCGTCGCACGAGGAAGGGCCCACGGGTCCAGCTGTCACCTGGAGTTCGTTCTGTGAGACCGCCCAATACAGCACGTGGGATGCGTGGTGCGCAGGGCTTCGGGCGCGTTTTGAGCCGATCGCGGCTTCAATTTCGGCGCGTCAGAGATTGCGCACTTGGCGCCAGCTCGGTGTCAAAATTAGAAGAAAGAAAGAGGATTGAACTAGCAAGAATGAGGATACAAATAGCAAACCCTAGAAGGGTTGTACTCGCTATAGAGCACCCCACTACAGGCTAGAACAATAAGATAATATTCTGACACACCCCCATAGCCAAAGTGGGGTGTAATCAGCAGAGCAGGCAAAGCAAAACAAGCTCAGGGTGGATCACAATGTCACCACACATTCTGAGCACAAGTTCAAGAAGAAATAGTTTAGAGTTCACAATTACAAGCAAAGCTAGTGGTAGTCACAACGGGCAAGTGAGGAGGAGGAGGGAGAGTGAGGGGAGAGGAGACAGGAGGCGACGGCTGAAGCTGCAGACACACGGGCAACAGGAGGCAGACTGGCACAGCGGCTACCGGACAGCGCCCGGACTACAGGAGTAACAGGCCCCGCGGCTCAAATAGCGGCGGACGGGCAACGGACCCACGGGCGGCTGGCACAGCTGGCTACGACTGGGCTACCGGGACAGCGCCCCGGACTACAGGTGCTGCTGACGACAAACTGGCAACCTCCGCTCATCCTCCCGCACACAGTCCCACCCCCCTGATACACACCCACTGCTACACCACTAGCTCTACTCCCACGCACCCCCCTAAAACCCTAAACCCAGTCTCCCACACAACCACCCCCCTCAGCGACAGCTGCAGCAGTGGGAGACGAAGGAGGAGGAGGAGCAAAGGGAGGAAAGTACACTGGCCACCCCCATACCTGCCACCCCACAGCGCAAGCGGCCCCCCTCAGGTCGCCTCGACGGACGACGGGAATTGGGGGGGAGGGGAGAAAAAGGGGGGGGGGGACGGGGCCGGGGCCGCGACGAGGGGCGGGGCCGCGACGGTCGGGGCGGGGCCGCGACATAGGGCGGGGCCGCGACGTAGGGCGGGGCCGCGACATAGGGCGGGGCCGCAACGTTGGGCGGGGCCGCGAAGGTAGGGCGGGGCCGAGCCGGGCAGGCGCACGGGCGGCGACGGGCCGGGGCGGGGCCGCGACGAAGGGCGGGGCCGAGCCGGGCAGGCGCACGGGCGGCGACGGGCCGGGGCGGGGCCGCGACGTAGAGCGGGGCCGCGTCAAGGGGCGGGGCCGCGACGATCGGGGCGGGGCCGCGACGTAGTGGAGAAGCCCGCCGCGCGCCTCGGGGCGCACAGCGGGCAATGAACCGCCGCGCGCCTCGGGGCGCACGGCGGGCAGAAAACCGCCGCGCGCCTCGGGGCGCACGGCGGGAGGAAAAAGTACCAGCGGAAGCGAGGTGGTAACCCACCCACAGGATCGATCCAAGGGGATCGACCTGCTCTGATAGCATGTCAAAATTAGAAGAAAGAAAGAGGATTGAACTAGCAAGAATGAGGATACAAATAGCAAACCCTAGAAGGGTTGTACTCGCTATAGAGCACCCCACTACAGGCTAGAACAATAAGATAATATTCTGACACTCGGGTCAGTTCAAGATTATACAAGCGGTTTTCTCGCACTTTGCGAGCAGGTCGGCTACATGCACGAAGCGGAGCGGGTGGACCGTTATGTCGGAGGGCTAAAGCCGGATATCTCGCACGAAATAATGCTGCGCGGACTCTCTAATTTTAACGAGATTCTCGCGCTCGCCGAGAAGATCGACATTCTACGCCGACCGAGACTGTCAGAATAATATATAAATCTATATATTGTTTTGTAATTGCCTGTAGTGTAGACTAGTGTAGTTATATAATGTTCTGTTTTGGTGGTGCACCTTTCATCTTGCCTATATATACTGCTCGCTCTATAGTGAAACCACTCCTCTTCTCTTTTCAACTTTCTCGACTCTCCTAACTCAAACTCACTCGAACTTCTCACTAGCTATGGCTCCTTAGCCAAGCTAAGATTCTGACAGAGACCGGGGTCCTATTACGGACATCGCCCTCGGGGACCGACCGAGCACGCCACTGTACACGCCGTTGCAACAAATGCAGCTGCCGCACCGTTTAAAGGGCGCTGCTTTGCTTGCAACAGGCCGGGCCATCGCAAGAGCGAATGCCCAGAGGAGCTGAGGCGCCGAGGAGCAGAGCAGGGGAGGGAGTCTCAGAGGCAGGGAAACGCCAGCAGTCAGTAGAAGTTGGGCCAACTACTGACGAGACTGCCTGCTCGCCCAACCACACCGACCCTCACCGAGTCACAGTACCGATTCACGCCATCGATTGGGCTCGGATGAATAAGGAGGGTACAGCGACGGATTGCCCGGTACTGATCTACGGGAAAATACATGGAGCAGCAGTGAAGATTTTTATTGACGGGGGAGCAAGTCACAGCTTAGTTAATACCGCAACCGCACGGAAATTACAGTTAACACTTAACCGATGCTTACCTGAGATAGATGCACGCTTAGTCGACAGAACGCCACTAGCCATACGGGAAAAGGTGGAGCGAGTAAAAGTCCGCTGCGGAGGAAACTTCGGGTTTACACAGGAAATGCTCGCAACGACACTGGATGGGCACGACATTTTACTGGGACGTGATTGGCTGCGACGGTATAACCCGCGAATTGACTGGACGACGGGTAGCTGCACAGTGCGAAATAGTGGTAACTGGGTCGTCCTACCTCGCTGGCAGCCACCCAATTCTTCGACGGTCCAGGTCAACGCCATCACGATGAAACGGGCTGTCGCTGCTGGAGCTGACGTGTACGCAGTGGATATAGCATTAGTGCAAGAAGAGGAGCTGCCGAGCGATTTTCAGAAACTATTGGCAGCTGTACCACCCGAACTTCAGGCACTACTGAAACGATTCCCGGGTATCTTTCCGGATGACTTACCACAAGGGCTGCCTCCTCAGCGGGCGCATGACCATAGGATCGAGTTAGAACCGGGGGCACAGCCAACTCTACAGCGCCAGTTCAGACTGACACAGCCCGAGCTCGACGAACTAAGGAAGCAGTTAGATTATCTGTTAGAGAAGCAGTTTATCCGACCGAGCTCGTCACCGTTCGCCGCACCGATACTGTTCACACCAAAAAAAGACGGAGGGTTTTGCATGTGCATCGACTACCGAGCGCTTAACAGGGTAACAGTCAAATCACGGTACCCCATCCCCCGCGCCGACGAACTGTGTGAAAGTAAGAACGAGAATGAATTGACTATGAACGAAGTGAGTACAAATAGGAAACCCTAATTGGGTTGTACCCCCTATGGG